AGCTCCTAATTGCTACTCGGACATGTAAGGCTGCACTGCGCCTGTGAGAGAAAGAGAGACACATAGAGAGAGAGAGAGAGAGAGAGAGAGAGAGAGAGAGAGAGAGAGAGAGAGCGAGAGAGTTGAAAGGTTATAATTCACTCCCACTGCTCACCTCACACTCTGTCAACGCATCCTCTGCATAGATAGTCATCTCTAATAGATTGATCCGCTGCTGATTGTTTGAACAAGCAAAGCGATCTCTGTTCATCTTTATACATTTTCCCATTTGCCATCGCTCCCTTGGCTGGTGGCTGTAGATTCGTATCCCCCCCCCTCCCCCCTCCCCGCCGCGATCCTCCCTCCATCGCGTAATGGATGCCCAAAGGCTAAGCTAGACCCATAAGCTAATTGATTTAAGGATAGGCCAAAAAAGCAATTCTCGATCATTAGATCTGCTCTGCCCCCATTTATGCCCTTTATCTAGAGCGAACGGATGCTGTTAGAGGCACAACAAATGTATTACAGCAAATAACAGCGGGTAAACATCGCTTTTGTCAGTAAAAACCTAATTAGCTTTTTACTATTTGCTAGAGCCCCACTTGTGTGGTTTTCACCTTGTGAGTCTATGTGTGTGTGTGTGTGTGTGTGTGTGTGTGTGTGTGTGTGTCGTCTTGGAGACACCTGCTTTAGCAGAAACTACCACAAATAGGGTGTTTACCTCTTCAGGTCTTAGTCACAAAACTTTAAGAGGCACCCTGTGAGGATCAAAATGAAGACAGAGTGTGATGATGGTAGTTCAAATAACACAGGTAGGTTGTAGAGACGGAGCCACATACAGACACATAAACATTCACGAGGTGAAAGCTATACTAGCATTGCTTTAAGAGACCCTGTCTTGATGGGATCACACTATCCCACACGTCTCTCACAGATGCATTTAGTACATTTTAACGCTCACAGACAGACTCACAAGCTCAGCACAATACCAGCGTCGCTGTCGCAGCTGGTAACAAGAACAAGTGTGTGTTAGCAGGAGTGCACACAGATGTGGGTTAACTCAGGTAGCACCTTGGCATTGACACAGAGCAGAAGACTTGTTACTAAGATGAGACAGGGTTATTGTATTGATCTAAAATACACAGGTAAGTTAGCATGACCGTATGACTGACTCGATTTAAAAAATAACTTAGCAACGAAGCTGCTGCTGTTAAAACCTGTTCTATCTGTCAGAAATAACATGAACGCAAACAGAGGTTAATGGCGTACGATGCCAGCAGTGTGTGACGTCATCTCATCCGTCAATTATAGTTTCAGTCCTCTCTGTGATTGAGTGAACGATTCATGTCAGTCGTGTACAAATGACCTCGATCGCAATGTTTAATAAATGTCATCAATCATTAGCAGCGGAGAGGGCATACTGTCCTGTAGCCATGACATCGCGCACGCTATGTTACAGCCAGTCTTTCTGTCAAAACCTCACAAACCATCACAACCCGATTCACGTTGGGCCTTTTCTAGGAACCGTTAGCTGAGCAAAACTACCTTAGTGTGTGTTATAGAAACATATGCACATGTAAAATACTAAGACCATATAAATGCATTTAGCTGCATTTAGAATCCACAACAGCCACAGAGTTAAAATGTCATTAACAGGTTTCAGGTAGTAGAACAACGTATTTTTTATGCTCCCTCGCGTGGCTCAAAGCTGTACTGCACATATGAATCATAAATGAAGGAGGAAATCCAGCAAATCAATTTGCCACTTGTGGGTTGAAACCCATTCTAATTAAATGATTGCTCTATAAGAGCCTTAGGTAATTAGAGCAGACATTCCTGATCTAAACTCGGGGATTGGTTCCGTTATGTAATATATAATGTATGCTAATAGAGACTTTAATGATGGATGACGCTGAGCACACCACACACAGAAGTTGCAGTGATGAGAAACCACTGTTTCTACCCTTGATGAGGTTGATCTGCAGATAAGAGCGTTTGGATGTGTTCACAATGAGATTGACGCTGGTTTGAGCTTCTTCGTCAAGCAATCTGATGGAGTTACAGTTTGCAATGTGATGAAACCCACTCACCAAAGGTAATACAGGTATACGTCAGCTTCATTGTGGAGAGTGCCGGTGCAGTAAATATGTCCCTGTGTCAGCTGGGAAGCGGTAATGGAGTTGAGAAGCTAATGTATTGGGCAAAAAAAGGAGTAAAATGACAGATGAACACTTATCTCTGTAGGCCTCAGATTTAAATACTAAAATATGCTGTGTGAGGTAAGATATCTGTGCCTTCATCATGTGCAATCCATCTTTTGCATGGGGATCTTTCCTCTCCATTTTGCTGTGATTTTTCTTTATCTGCTTGTTATTTTCAGAGATACTTAAACTCCCCTGAGAGAAAAACAGAGGAAACACATTTAGGGTGCAGGCATGTGAGAAATCAAGAAAATCTTCTGTTCAGCACGAATCCTCTCTTCTTTTTAATAGAAAGGAGCACAAACTCACACAGCTGGAAGTGTGTTGTCTTTGGATCGATTGTCCGTAGTCTGTTTTACTCAGTGGCTAAAAGTTGGCTGTCAATCCTTCTGTTTTGGAACTTTGGTCACATGAAATCAGGTTGTAGATGCATGTCGGGAGGGAGAGGTGCTTAAAAGATGGGTGATGTGAAGCATGTTTATTTTAAGATCGAGAGCGTAGAGTCAAACCTATTTTAATATTGTCTTGTCATACATATTTCGTATATCTTGATACTGATAGGAAAAGAAAAATGTCCTTCATTAAACCTTTTACAGGAAAAAAAGTTAGAAGAGCAACTGAGGATGGATCCTCCCGCTGGGAGGACAGACATCGACTAAATGTTTAAATGTGTATTAAACGGAACAACAAGAAAATGACAATAAAGATAGCCAGGGTGACAAATGAATACATGCTTCACATCCTCCTCATCCATTTGCCTTTTTTCCAGCCGTCCATTGACTGGGCAAGTGAGCTATCTCCATGACAACGGACCCATCTCCATCCACTGATTAAGGCCTTGAGATAATTAAAGTTATTTCCAAAACAGCTTTGGCCGCTCCCTCTCTAGTCCTTTATTTGCCCCTCAGGTGAACTTATATCACTGGAGTTAATGTTATCAGGTAACCCAGATCAACGAGGAGCTGATCATTAGAAAAGATAACGGTAAATGCCATAAATACAACCAACGTTAAAATCAGTAAAAATAACACTAGCTCCCCATTGGCTGTTTTCACCAGCACATCCATTTAGACCAGTAAACAAACACCTGCGTCGTAGGAGTTACTGAAATAGTCACCTGCTTGTTCCTCAGAATGTTTGGTCGACCATGTGGGCTTATTCATCACCGCAACCAAGACATTTCATCTTTTGTAGGAAACCTTCGGATGAGTCATCGCATGAGATATTTGAGTGTTTTCACATTACCAAAGCGTTGTCAGAGTGTTTGTTGGGAATGTTTTTTTTTTGTGTCCTCAAAGTTAAAATTAGTTTCTACAAAACAAGAGGACAATAGTCCTTTTTCTTTTTTTTTAGCAATAGCAGAGATAAGGCATGTGACATTTCCAGATCTGGCTTCATCTGATTTGCTCTTTATTTGATGTCTGAAGTGGTTGTTGTTGCTGGTCACTGCGATCGATAAGGGGCCAATCAGCTTTATCCGGCATCTAAGTAACCCAGCGAGCGATTTACCTCAGATCAGATCAGGTCCAACACTAACAAACAAAAGTTAAACATTAACTTTAAAATGTCAGTGTTACTGTAAAAGCGTCTTCAAACATGTCCCCCTCGAGACGACCTCATTAGCGGCAGACGGGGGTGTTCCACTCCGGTTGAGTGACGAGCGATTCCATTAGCTCCCTCAAGTGTCGATCTGCCCTCCGACAGGACATGGTGAGACGGGCTGCCTGCTCGTGCCTCACCATGGCCATTAGTTGTTGGCTCTGCTCAGACCACTGGACACTGACCACTGGACACTGACCGCGGGACACTGACCACGGGACACTGACCACGGACTACGGCTGACAATGTGGAGGGACGAGCGCGTGTTAAGGAGCGGCTGAAGGAGACGGGGGCAGCCGGGCCTATTCACTCCTCCTGATTCCGTCACGTACAAACGCAGGCAGACGCGGAGCCCCAAGCTGTGACTTTGAAGTGGCGTCTTTGATTAAGCCCTTAAATACAAAGAAGCCGCGTGCTGGCGAGCAGATAACTTGGAAGAGAAAAGGAACGGGCAAAGAATGAAAAAAGGAGCAGATGTGGAGCGGAGAAGTGATATTGGCAGTTTCTCAGGTGGCAGAGTGTCGTCCTTCTGACTGGCGGAGAAGCCAGCTGGCACTGCTGGAACCGACAAAAACCTGCCACTTACATGTGTGAACAGCACAGTTTCAGTCCTGCTGCAAGCTGTGCTGTCAGTGCCACAAAGCATTAATAAGAAGCACCGATATCGGAACAGAAGGAGGGTCCATCATTTATATATTTGGGATGAAAAGACTTCTTTTTCTGTTCGTCCTACCTAACCTGTCTCAATCTGTCGCTTCTTCCTCCTACTCTGCTGTTGTCTCCTCCTCCTCCATCAACCATCGCCATCCATGCAGGTGGAGTACGCCCGGCCGGACACCTGCCTAACCTTATTCTCCTCTCTCCATCTCATCTCCTTCCTCTCTTACGTTCTTCCTCACAACCTTCCTGTCCCGTCACATCAGAATGAAAGCAGGGTAGTTTTAAAGTAAAATGTAAATGAATTAAAAAGGATGAGAAAATACTTTGCTTATATACTATATAATTATTTTATGAGAGAGCTGTACAGTTTTTGATAAGGCAAAAAAAAAAGGTTGATGAACGGAGATTATAGTCCAACTTCCACCCTCCTCCTTCTCTAAACCATCACCAACTAGACACAAAACAAGAAAAAGGATGGATTATTCTATTATAAATACATTGAAACAATGAAATGAATAGACATGACTTCTATATCCTGTCTTTTCCGTCCTTCTACTCCAGCCTGGCTTTTACAAAGGCGTGGCGGGCTCACAGGTGACCCTGTCCAGCCTGGTGAACCAGTCGCGGGCCATGCTGGAGGAGCAGGCGCGCCACTTGCTGACGGAGGCGGAGCGACAGACCATGGGCTACTACCTGGAGGAGTACCGGGACGGACACGTCGGGGTGGAGCAGCTGGTCGTGGCGCTGTTCGAGCTGCTCAACACGCACGCAAAGGTGAAGGACGTGGCGGCTTGTTTGGGAAAGGAAAGATGAGAAGAGGATCAATCTTCCTGGTGCGGCTCTTGTCTCTGAGCCTCTTTGTGTGATTGCTGCCAGGTTTGAATGGAAGCTTTCTAAGCTCTTCTGACATTCATGCCCAGGGTTCTTGCTGATGTTTACAGTTCGGTTTACTTCTCCTTTTATCCCCTGCTCTTAAGTCTCTTTGATTTTTCTCACAGAAGTCTAGTTCATCTTTTAAAAAAAAATAAAAAGCTTCTCTAGCTGCTGTGCATCGTATGTAGAGGTGCTGTTCAAATCTCCTCCTCTTTTGGGGTCAGCTTTTGTTTTTGTTAAAGAAAATGTTGAGAATATCAGTGGGGCCGGATTTTTCTTACAGATTTAGTGCAAAACTTACATCCTACCTGCATATTTAAACCAATCCACAGAATAAAGTCGTGAAAAAACTGCTTAGAGATACATTTATCTTAATCTTGATAAAAGCGCTTGTTTTGTCAAGCTGTTGTTCTGAAAATGACCCCTCACCCGTCCTCTGTACGTCCCTCCCTCAGTTCTCTCTGCTGTCGGAGGTGCGAGGCTTGGTCACCCCACAGGACCTGGAACACTTTGACGGACTTGTGCTGAGACGGGAGATTCAGGCTCTAAAAGCGCGACAGGTGACAGCCGGAGCCACGGCGCTCCAGCCGGACTCCGCGTCCATGGTGTCGTACCCGGACACCCTGACCTCGTCTTCAGCCAGCTTCCTCACCAACACCACCCTCAGCTCCGCGCGGGTAGGTTGGACTCACAGTCACAATCAGGCTCCTAGTGACGTAAATATTGTGTGTGTGGAGATATGTTTATATTTTGAGGAGAAAATGGTTGCTCTCTTCAGCACTCTCCGCTTAGGATAAATATTCCACGTGCTGTTTTATTTTTCTGTACTGGCTCACTGTCTAGGTTGTTTGGAAGTGTGTGTGTGTGTGTGTGAGCGCGAGAGAGAGGCAGAGAGGTCATAATTCCATATGTCATAACTGACTGTGGTCTGCTGGACTTTGTGGGACTGAACAAGGACTCGTTTCAATGCCTTCCTGTTCGACTGACAGTTGATAAATTGTGTTTTTCTTCCACCTCAACCCAAAAATCTCCACCTCCCCTCCCGCTCTGTAGGAAAGGCTGCTCTGGCTGATAGATATGATGGAGGTAGGAATCGCTGCTGAAAGTGATGAATGCTTTCCAACACAAACACACACACGCGGAACGAGGGGTGTGAAGTTCCCTGTGGGCACCAGACAACATACATATCTCACCTTGGTTTGTGGTTTTGCAATGAATTTGTTTGCCGTGTTTTTCTTCTATTGCATTTTGCCGTAATCGTGATATGGAAAATAGCGGTAGCGCTTTTAGAAAAATCCATGAGAATAACATCCCTCATGGTGTGTTGGAGCTGTAGAGGAAGTTTCTGGTTATGTTTGAGATCACTGCAACAAAGAGACGAGATGTCTGAGTATATTGAGAATGTTTCTTGCTCGTGCCCAGGAGAGGATCTCTGAGCCAAACATTTTCTGATTTCACAGCGAGCAGCGTGATAGACCCGACCTTTGCTTGTGTTACAGGAGGGAGAACAACATGGATTTAACCAGCGTGTGACCAGCGTTCACTGAGCAGCTTTTTCTTCATTTCAGTTTAAACATGTGGCAACAATTCAAAAGCAAATGTGTTGGTGTGTAGAAAAATTGTCGCAATTGTTTAGTTATGGATAAAGAGGAACGACTGCAGCGATTAACACACACACACACACACACACACACACACACACACACACTGTTTAAGCTGACAGCGGATGAAAGCTGTTTTTTCACAAACCAGTCTCTGCCTCTTTACATAAGATCGTTTTCTTTGCCTTCCCCTCCAAGAAGCAACATGTATCTGTGTGTGTGTGTGTGTGTGTGCTCTCTATTCCACCCATGTATCTGTGTGTGTTGGTTTGTGCTGTCATGGGCTCACGGGTGATGGTCACCACTGCTGCGTGGAGCAGATTAGAGAGCTGGGCGGGTTCGGGAGGATAAAAATACAGGATTCTTCAGGCACACAGTCAACAGCATATATATATATATATATATATATATATATATATATATATATATATATATATATATATATATATATATATATATATATGTGTGTGTGTGTATGCACAGACACGCACACAAAACCGAATAATGGAGACTTTTTTACGGCTTGCTGGACGAACACTATATGATGAAGCATTTGAAATCCACGTGCAGTCTTTTGTGATTTGATGAGCCTTTAAACTTCTGCATTACTCAAACTGTACCTCCGGGGTCATATTTCCATTTACGACCGACGCCCTCCACCGTCAGGCGGATCAATAGTGTTTGTGATCACAATTGCTTCCAATGTTGACGCAGTTTAACGTTGATCCTTTCGTGCTCATCTTGAGTCATTTGCTGCTTCTCGCAACATAAATCAGAGCTGGACGTTCAGCCTAGCTGTTCAATTTTGATTTCACATGTCGCCTTGAATTCCTTCTGCGAGCAGGCGGCGATCTCAAGGTAAGAAAACTGAGCCAACTTGTACATAACTATGAGAAAAAGACACAACCCTTCTCTTGATATATTACCTCAGTAAACATCTCTAGTCGTCTTCAATACAGCATGATGTTCATTTTGTGAATTATGGTCCCATTTGCAGCAAAATAAACCATAAAGCAGGTTGTACTTTGGGGCATTGCAACCTTGTGATTGACAGCTTGTCAATCAAGGTTTTTTTTTTCTCTTGCAACACATTTTTTTGCTTTTACTTGTACTTAGCTACGCCCTCACGAGGCACTTCTGGATGTAAAAAAAAAAAAAACTAGATGTCGGCTGGATAAATTCACACAGACACACAGTGGAATGTAACTGGTTGGCCCCAATCCGACACATAAAGCCGGCGTGCTGTGACTGCTTACTGTGCAAAGCGGCGCTCCATGTAGAAAGCCGATCGACTCTTTTGCTGAATAAATTGTGTGTAAGTGCACGCCGCGCGGCAACAAGGGGTAATTAAGCTGAATTGATGTTGCTGTTGTTTCGGCTTAGTGGCGGAGTTAAATGAACGCCAAGGTTTCTCCAAACTCTGCTCCTGTGCTCTGAAATCACTCACAGATGTGCTGCAGATTGCCTGCTCCACTACGGTGGGATTGAGCTGCCAAATCCAGCTTCAAACTCGGCCGATGGTTCTCTATTGATTTCCTGGTGTGTGTGTGTTGTGCTTGTGGGAGAAGATGGTTTTGTGTGTGGCCTCATGTCTTGTTTGCTCACCTTCCTTTTAAGATTCAAGATACATGCGGATAAATCAACCTCTTTCCTTTTTTCTAGAAGATGTTGAATCTTATTTGGCATTTGTTTTGGGTCAAATGCACATCTGTGCTTAACATTTGCTCACAAGGTTTCTTTCTCTCTCTCTCTCTCTCACTCGTATCTTCATCTTCTTTTTTCTGCCTTTTCCATCCTTTCGTCGCCCTCTCCTCTTTCTGTTTCATCACTGCTTCTCACGTCCCTCCTCTTCCATTTCTGTCCTGTGTCTCTCAGAACGACGGCGTGGGGGAGAGTAGTGAGCCGGGTCCCCCGGAGGCTCTGAACACGCTGCTGACCGACATCTCTCTGGTGAGACGGGCAGAAAGGCACAGCCCACTCTTTGGCCTGCTAAGGATGGATGCAACAGTGGGGAGAAGTGAGGAAGGGAGAAATGGGGGGGGGGGGGCGTTAGGGACAGATTAAAGTACCTGAAGCGTCACGCTGCTGACCTGCACACTTTGCATTGGAGCGATTCCACCCAATGAAAAACAAGACAAAGAAAGACAAAAAAAATCTCTGTGGGATTAAGTGTCAGTGTAGCTTTTCTTCATATTTTCTTGTGTAGAAAAAGAAGAAACGGATCACTATGGGTCACCTGCCATGTCTATCTATCCATCGCTGCAATAAAGAGGGGCTCACGGTTACACCGTAGGGAACAAAGAAGAAAGAAAGGTTAGCGGTTTCCAAATGTCAGGAGCAGGAGATAAAAGGGAAGTCAAGGAGCAAGTCTTTGTCTGCGGTGGTTCGAGGCTGCCTGCCACTCAAATCATCCCTCACTTTTCTGTTGTACACTTTGTTTTACGCACATTCAATGTTTCTTCTTCATGTGCTGGCGAGCCACTCACTCATGATCTTCATCCTGCTGTTGGTTTCGTGTTTGAGCATCCTCACTTTGAAACTGTCTAAAATCTGCGTGAACGTACTGCCTCTGTAAGTTGCAAAACTCGGGGTCTAGTGTAACTGTACACTTATTCAGATGCACACAGTTCAAAGTCCGTAATAAAACCAAAAGTAAAACTTATTTATTCTCCTTTGCACGGAGAATCGGCACGTTGTTAAACAATTCTTGAGTGGTTGTTTCGCCCACTTCTATTAGCATTTCAATGGTGTGACGACCATTTAGCAGACGCCATTCACCTCGTGTACTGGGGAGGCAGCAGAGATCCGATACGAGACGAGTTAAATCAAGACCTGGATAAATGACTGATATAACTAGAGCCTTATCTATACAACTAAAATAGTAATACAAAGTAAAGTAATATTTCCTAATACAGAGGAAATGTCTGGAAATTGGACATTCTCAAAACAAATTTAGGCAAATATAACATTGGTGTGAACATTTCTTTAGGACGTTTCGGGTGTTAATGGAGGAAACTAAAGAGTCAGACTCGTATAAATATTGCATCAAGGATACAATTGTGACGCCCCTAATCAATGATGAATATATCCTCTCACTTCAGGACGACGTACAGTCCACCACAGCTGAATCCCCCCCCTCCTTCAAGCCTCCGCCCCCGCCGGGGGTGCACAGGCGCCCGACTAGACGAGAACAGCTCAACAAATGCCCCTCGTCCGAGTCCTCCCACTCGGGCCTTTACTTCACAGCCCCGGCCTCTCACGACCTCAGCAGAGAGCCGGGACGCGCCAAGGACCCGTCTCGGGACTACGCGGCCGTCAGAAAGAGAAATCCCCCGGCGCCTCCCAAGAAGCTGGCGGCTGCTCAGTTGTCCGCCGTGTCGCAGCACAACATCGGCCCTTTCCCCCGGGTCCAGTCGCCCGGCAGGGCCACGAAGCCCGCTGCCCCTTCGCCTTCGCCCCCACCGCCCCCTCCCCTCCCCGCTCCCCCTCCGCCCCCTTGTCTTCCCTTTGAGAGAGTGTCCCCCTCCTCTCCCGGCTCCAAACAGCAGTTTGTTACAGTGGAGGTCCACAGGCCCAACGCGGAGCCCGACTTCAACGAGGTGCGGCCGCTGCCCCAAGCTCGAGGTGAGGGAGCACCGGAGGTCGACCGCACCGGGGGGGAGTTTTTTCATTTGTGTCCTCAAATGGATAACGTCCCTGCGAGTAATTAAAATGAATAATGATACGTTATCTATGTATAAACTATTTTACTAAATAATCGATTTTCATTGTCTGCAATGAAATCTGTATATATGTGTGAAATTTGTGTAAATACACATATCATTTCCCAAATATTTGTTTACTCGGGCTTAATGTGCAGAAATGAGCAATTACCCAGGAGACAGTTTTATATCTACTGCATTCAAAACCATCACTAATCTCAATTTTAAGATTTTAATCAAGACAGTTCTAAAAATATTGTTTTTCTCTTTAGATTGATGTGGAAATAAAGTACAAACTTAAATAGAAAATGACAATGTTGGAATGCTTTGGTATGATAAGATTCAAAGGCCAAATGTCACGTCTGCCCGTTTACACTCAGGTGGCGCCCTGTCTCAGCTGTCAGACAGCGGCCAGACCCTCAGTGAGGACAGCGGGGTGGACATAGCTGAGTCAGGACACATCAGCAAAGACAGCTGCGCCCACTCCTCACGCACACGCCACCCCCGAGACACCCAGGCGGGCGGGGGGGGAAACCCCTCCAAGCCGGTGAGGGTGTCATTTGGAACGGCGGACAGGCAAACGTGGATGGATGAGTGGAGGAATACCAGACGTATTCTATTCCCTTAGGAGTGTGTGTTTCTGTACCTCTAGAGGTTTGAAGGTGATTTCTTGATTACGTGAGGATATTAAGAACATAATAAGGACGTGGGGAGATTTTTGGTAAGTTGGAACATCCCTTTTGGAAGGTGGGCATCATTTTAAAACACTTTTTGAAAACAAAGCTCTTTTTGGAAATTGGGGAAATCTTCTGGATATTTCAGGAACTTTGAGTGTAGACTTATTTGAAGTATGAGGACATTTTGTCGTCCCTTCATCAAAGGGCTGTTTTCGGGTTAATGGGATGTCCCCTCACGTATTGAAGTATCTGCGTATCTGAAGAACAAGCCTTAGATAAATGGTTGTGCTTTATTGTTAATCCTCCACCAGAATCAGTTGTCAGAGCTTGATCTCTTACCTCCTCTATCTGTGTTCGCTCAAACAGACCGTGTCTTTTGTTTCTCTCATTAATTCATTTTTATTTATTCATTCATGTCATTCATTCAGTCACCTGCTGCATCATTTATTATTTCAACGCTCAATCTCTAACCGCAGTGAAGCATTCAAAGCGCTCCCTGGTTCTTATTGATTGATGGGTGGAATGCGCGTTGCCTAATTGTTTATGATGTGTTGGCTGTTGGATTCAATTTAGAATTATTAGGCAGAAAACGTGACGGTGGAATAAATCATGAAAAGCCCCATTTTGTTGTCTGCTGAGCGGAGAAAGATGATGACAGCTCCAAGTCGGTGGCTGACGGAAAAGGTTTGGGAACCACTGCTCTAAAACAATAGGGTCAACAGCCAGAATGGATGCAGTTATATGGTACAGTTCTTAACCACCTGGCCTCCATCAATGTTAAATATGCAGAGACAATCCAGGAACGTGTTTCAGATTAACAGACGAAAGAAACCCCTGAAGGACAGACTATTTCCACGGATGCCTTGTAAAATAAATCGATTTTAAATAGTCCTTTGACCCTTGAACCTGTCGGACATTGTTGCTCTTCCACGATGGTTTCATCAGGATTGAATATATGCATAATAATACGGTGGCCTTTGTGAATGTGTAAATCCATAGAAAGACTCTTTAGCATATGTGCTCAGTGAAAACAAAGCTTTTTCTTGCAGAAAAATAAATGCACAAAGGGAGGTTGTGCAATGTTATGGATGTTATCGCCTTGAATATGCATAACCATTGTTCTTCTGATTAGATAACTTGTGCTTCTCTCTCTCTCTCTTGCTTTAGCCGGGCCTGTTGGAGCCCACCTCTACACTGGTGAGAGTGGCAAAGAGTGCCACCACCCTGGGTATTGCCGTTGAAGGTGGAGCCAACACCCGCCAGCCGCTGCCACGAATTGTCACAATACAGGCGAGTCGTGAAGAAAGTAACATGATGTTTAAAATAATACCTGCACCAGGATCACCTCTACTTAAGCACTGCATACAACCTGCCAACATGCCCAAAAGAAGGCAGCGTTTCATTTAGTACGGCCGTAAAATCTCGATTCACAGACAGCAGTTTCAAAAAAGAAGCAAAACGAAACCCTGGTTTTCTCTTTTCTTTCACTTAATGATTTAATGATTTATCTTAGAACTCGCTGGTCACCATGTTTATTTTACTAGATATCTCTCAACCGCCACAGACATCTTTGACCTAACACCAGTACGGTCAATGAGGACAATGTTAGATCTTTTTTAATGTTCTAATCTAAAATCCTTGCTAGATCGTGCACCTTTAATCCTCCCTGTCCTCATTAGCATGCTGTCAGCTTCATGTTGTGTTTGTTATTGGTTCCTTCTCTCATTATTTATTGTGGTTGTACCACACGTCCACTTCCCAACTGGGATTTAATACCCTGTCACACTGCAGCTGAACTCTGCTCATTTGGTCCTTGTTGTGGCTCACACAGAGATGATTGTAACGTTAATGGCTTTCGTGAAAAGGCTCGACGCCTCGGAGACTCCGGCAATCAGCGTTCCAGAATGAGTCAGTTGGTACGACATTGACGTTTGGGATTAAAGGCAGCGAACCCATGTGGGACATTATAGTTTTATTTCAAAGATAATGATGTTTTGGCACGGTGGTCATGTTTAGTTGAAGAGGCTCGGCAGAATTGCTCATTGTCCAAGCAGACAACTGCTTTGAAAAATGCTGGAAATTTAGAATTTTTCTCTATGAAGGAAATCCAATCATTGGCAGGTTAGGGAACTAAGAGGGAAGCTCCGACTGTGACCGGTTGTGAATCTCTCTGTCTGCCGTGGCAATTTGAAAGTCAACAGAGCCTCGTATTGGCTCTGCGTCTGTAGCACCAAACATTTCATAACCACAGAGGAAGCTGGCGTTACAATTTAAAGATCAGCGCAGCTCCAGACTACAGTCCAGCCCCGTTCCAAAGCTGCCTGTCAGCCTCACACTCCGCAGGTTGAAATAACAAAAAAAGGGCTGCTGATTGTGAGGCGAGGGATAAAGGATCGGAAATCAGCACATTGAAAATCAAGGAGTTCTCTGGAAGAAAGTGCAGCGAGTGTCAAAAGGGGAGTGAGAGGGATGTTAATGAGGAGGATCGGTGCAGAAGAGGAAGTGGACGTCTGGTGCTGGGAAGAGTTGCATGGGGAACAAGTAAACAAGTTATTTCCATCAGTTGCCATTATATGATAGGATTAGGAGTTTGGGTTCTCATTTTTTTTCTGTTGAGGGCAGAAACGCGACTCGCCGGGTTTCAAATCAGAGCTGCATTTCGCTCTTTAACAAAAGCAGAACATCACATAGATACAGTTTGATGAACGCAACTGTGGTTTTACACTAACTCTTATCTTGAATAGAATGTATTCCTCCCTCGGACATGAGTGAAAACATGGAATTTAAATCAGGTGCAATGGTCTCTTGAAGCTCAGCTTTTCCGGAAACTACAGCGTGAAAGAGATGCGCTCGCAAATATTTGAATAAGCACATCCATCACAATGAAACTATTGAAATAAAAGAGCAAATTCAGCCGAGGATAGGGGGCACCTACTCACACAGAGCAAGAGATTACGCTTGAGAGATGAAGCCACAGAAATGGTTTCAACCAATAACAAATTCCCGTGAACCCCACAGACTGTAGAGGGAACGTCTCGTAACAATGAAAAGGCAGCTGAGTGCAAACGGTAATGGCAGAAAGAATGAGTGCTTTCTCACTGCGGCATGAAGGTTCAAATTGATAATATGAACTAACTTTAACAATGTTAAAGTTCATTTAAACCTTTTAAGCAAGTAGCTTGAACATGTAATCAGGTTAAAATGCTTGCCCTCTGATAAAAACGCACTTTTGGAACTGCACAGATTTCCCCCATAAATCATAAATGGGACGAAGCCACAAGCTACACGACACCACTGCTGCTTCCCCTGAACAATAACAGTAGGCATCAATAACACGGCAGCCTCAAGCCCACTTGTTACAGACATGGAACGTTCACGTTTTTCCCGATGAAAAAGTGAGCTGTGAAAAGTCGTCTCCGTCACCCGGGGAACTCAAACTCATGTCTAATGTCATTAGAACCAGGAGCCCGAATGCTTCCCGCAGCCAGGACTCAGCATCACATCTGTCCATTTGCTTTCATTAAAAGGAACATTCATGTTGTCTCTGACTCTGAGATGGACTTCTGGTTCTGTCCGGGGGAGGAGGGGCGGGTCCCATCCAAGCCAGTGCCACAAACAAGATCCTTTCCCTGCAGCAGTGGAATAAAGCCCAGTGGAGTCGTGATACAGAGGATATCTGGCTTCCCATCTCTCTGGACTCTCGAGCCACCTCAGTCTCCGCTGAGGATGAAGTGCAGATGAGTAAGCTGCCGCCAGCCCGAGTCCCCCCCCCCCCCTCCTGAAGCAGCAGCCTGATATGACCGCCGTCTTCAGATCGTGGCGACCGAGCCTCCGTAATTGTTGGAGGCTCAGTGGATGAGAGCGGTGAAGATGCAGTCCTGATGGAGAGGCGGAAGGCACCGCCGGTGTTTTCAGCCATCAAAGTCGCACTTGATAAGGTCATCTGTCTGAATCAGGAGGAGGAGGAAATGGAACCGACAGAAAGCAAAACACCTGTCTGTGTCTCATTTGGTGTGTTTGTTGAGGCTTTTCTTTCCGTTCGGCGTGCCGAGGCCGTTACATGTTCCATGAAGAACCCACTAGTCCTTGCATTGGCACTTAATGCTGTTAACGGATGTCAATTCTCCACGGCAGGGACGCCCAAATTGAATGTATAATGAAGGTAATTGGGCAGAAACACTGGTCCAATCTGTCTTGGGTGTGATGTTAAATGTAGAGGCTGCTGGTGAGTCGCCACTTCCGATTAGAGGCAGGGAAAGAACTGCAGCCGTGACCTCGCCACTTCAAGAAGCCGATAAGGTTAACAAATATGACTCTTTGTTCGGCTCTGCTTCGGGGAAACAGAAGTGTCCGAGGGAGGCCTTTGGGGAATCTTCTGATTTCACTGCCAAGCAGCTGAGGCTCCCCCGAGAAATGAAGGCTGAGTCGACATCATGTGTCGGAGTCTCAGTAACAGACGGCGTGCTTCCAACATGTTGTAGCGAGCGGATAAATTGATGGAGCAGACGTTATATGTCAGTCCGCAGCACACACATTCATCTTCCCTCAGCAGCTCTCAAGCGGTGCACCGGTTCATCACAGCTCCTTTCATGCAAATACGACAGCGCAGGCACCAGCCAATCAGATCGCGTTTATGCTCACGTCTAAAGAGCGTGAAGCTCAAAAATAAAAGATGGTGGACCAAACTCCGTAGAATAGGGGGTCCTCTGCTCCGTCTCGTCATCGGTTTGGGGGTCCGTGGCCTGAAAAAAGCCCCCTGGCATAAACAACAGCTCCAACTTGCTGTATAAGACAAAAAGCTGCAGAGCTTCAAATCAAAACTCAGACAAAAACGTGACAAATGTAGTTTGCTTTCCCACCTAACTGGTTTGGTTCTGTTGAATGGATTTAATCCATCTGCTAATCGTGAACTCACATCTCCGGATCAATCAACCGGCTATATTTACACAGAATGGTGACGTAAGAGTGTTTTCATCAGAAAGTCACACGGCGTAAAGCCACAGGTGTGTTGAGCTTGAGTCCTGCTTTGTGTCCTTTGGCAGTCCTCCAATAGCAGTGAGTGAAAAGAGCGAAACGCGGGTTTGTGACTATTTATAAGGTGGTGCAGTTGCTGTCTTGACTCCCAATCAGTTCCATCTCTGGTACATGAGACAAGATAAATGAACACAGGAGGCACAGAAGAGCAGCGTGACTTTCTCTGTCATCACTAGTGATGTGATGAAAATGAGTTCTGTTTTCTTAAAATGCACATTGTCCCTGTCTCTCTGTCTCTTAGAGGGGTGGTTCAGCTCACAACTGCGGCCAGCTGAAGGTCGGTCAGGTGATCCTGGAGGTAAACGGGGTTTCCATGAGGGGCCGCGAGCACAGGGACGCCGCACGCCTCATCGCAGAGGCCTTCAAGACCAAAGAGAGGGACCACGTGGACTTCCTGGTGACCGAGTTTAATGTGGCGCTATAGCTGGGTGGAGGAGGAGAGAGGACGATGACGGGGGGGGGCGGAGTCAGGAGAAGAGGCGTTTGAGGACGTCACGAGCGGAGGGAAAAGAAGAAAAAGAAGCGTCTGTTGTTTTTAAATGGCACAACTCATTTAGGTGGACACAAACGACCTTCCACCGGCATGTGGACTCCAGGATGCTCCTCAACGTGTTACCGCCCCACTGTGAGACCGTATGCACTAAAATGGAAAGTAGTGAGACGTATACCTTTTTCCCTGCTCTCCGCCCTCATGAAACTTTGGATTTACAACCATTCAAAACCGACTGGACCCGCTCGTAGCTCGACCGCGCCCCCTGGTCCGCTTGGTCCGCTTGGCGTTAGCTTCTAGCGCGAGAGACTAATGCGCATCCAGGACTTTACATGCTTGGATTTGTAAATGTAAAAATGAACAAATGTAGATACAGATGCATATATAGTGTACACATAAAGATAGTCCTATATGAATTATAAAACCCTTAACCTCTGTGGCATCACCACTACGTAGTGATATATCTTAACGATGGTGATAGTTCAGGCCATCCTGGTGATATGGGAGGTGGTGCGTTACAGTGATGCTACCCGCCTGTCTGCGCATTGGAAGTACACATTACATGCTCACATTGGTTTGATCAGGCATAACAGAAAATACTATTTTGATGGAACTCTTCATTTGGGATCCAAACCAACGCGAATCATTTCCTGCTCCTTTCCATTCCTCCGTGTGTGTCTGTATCATTTTAGATTACGTTCGCACCAAACTATCAGAGTTTTTGAATGCTGTGAAAACAAGATGCGCCGCAGCCAAGTTTCCCCAAGTACGCAACAAAACAGAAGCTTGTCCTGGTTAGAGTCATTCGCTCTACAGGACAATTTGTTTATGTCTTCAGATTTGGCCACTTCAGTGTGGAGGTTCTCAGACGGCGTAAAAATCCTTCAATTTATTTTTCCCTCAGCTTTGCTCCTGCTCGTCTGAGTAACAATTGATCATTTTGTTTAGTGATGTCATAGTTTTAATTACATTCACCCCATTGGGGGAGGAGGGGCGGGGGAGAGGGAGGAAGGGGGGGGGGTTGCTGCAATTACGCTCAAGGCGAACGTAATGAGACATTTAGAGGACGACACTGCCAAAGACTTAGGAAACCCTCCTCCTCCTCTTATGTTCACACATCCACTCATAGCAAAGCAATTAGGAGATAAGCAATCAGGAGGAGGGAGCTATTGAGCAGGAGGGCGACGGGATTGTTGCTGTGATGATTTGCTTCCTCTCAGGGAGAGACGTACATCAAACATCCTCCACGTGTCCCGCCAGAGACTCGCCCGAGGCTGCAGGTTGAAATACGAAGTCATTTGACTAATTCATGCGAGTGCGTGTGTGTTTCGTGTGTTTTGATGTGCCGTGTGTCTGTCTTAAGAAAACATGATGCTCAAATCAAGGAGGAGGGAAATAATGCTGAACGTAAATGTCATCAAAGGCGCCGCTTTATGAGACACGTGCGTGGAAGCGGAGTGGCAGTCTGGGCTTTTTGGGTGACAAATTACAATCCTACAGTCCTGAATCTAAAAGCTAAGAGAACAGCGCCGTTATGCTTTGTTTTTGCACCATATCCCGCTGTTTATCTTCAAAACGTCAACCTTCAATGAATAAAAAACACATGCGCCCTGTACCCGTATAATGCCCAACTACGATCCCAAGATGTATATATTTTGTAAAGAATCTTAAACGCAACCTTTCTTATTCGTTTATCTGTCATTAAATCATGTGTTGCTCAATCGGCGTGTGAGATTCAAGAAAACCAAAGAAGGTAACAATGTTTTTTTTCAAAGCAGCTTAAATTGATGATTGCCTCTAGAAGACAGACGAACTGCACAAAACCATAAAGACCGTTCTGAGATATAGATTACCTTGTAGATTTATCCTTTAATTAATTCTGAGTGGTGTTTTGGCTCACTTGATGACTGTTAGTTCAATATTTACAGCCCTGTAGCTCTGCTTTGTTGTCCACCAGCTTTTTTACAAATAGTTTTAAATTTGCTCGTCTCGTTTGGTATTGGGAAGCTTGTGTCTGTGTGTATGTATATGTACACATTTTGGTATTCACTTTTCTCTCGGTTGAAGACAGTTTGAGATAAATCTAGTGCGTTTCCAGAAACGGACGACCTCATACCAGCTTCAGCTTTAACTGTAACTATTTGTGGCAGGATTCTTAGAACATTTTTGTAGCTCACGTTGTCCGTTATTAAGTCAACAGCCTGATAAAAAGCCACCGTATTCAACTGTTAATGTCTGAGGGGAATGTGGAGAAGCATTCAGACAAATTCACAAGTTATTTTCTGTCTGTAATATTTCTAAAGCGAGTGCATTCACTAATTTCACTTACAAAAACGTAAACTGTATGCATATACAGGACTCGATAGGAACAATTTCTGGAAAGAATCTCACTCGTGTGTGTGTGTGTGTGTGTGTGTAACAGACTGAGCTTGATAAGAAGACACACGGGGCATTCAGAGAGATGAGGGCTGCAGTGTGTCCTCTCAATGAAGTTACTCTCCTGTAAGTTTTCTCAACTGCAAAGAAACGCACCCACACAGATGGATGCTTTTCTTTTTTTCCCTGTTGAGCTTCCTAACGTCACACGTGACGCCTCCTTCTTACAATGGAGAGGAGACAAGGAAGATGAGCCAACTCTTTGATTTTTAATTAATTAGTATCCTTCCAGTGAAAACCACACACTGTATCTTAAAATTGGATTGCCTTTAGAATCCCTCTAAATGGCCAGAAGGAAAACACTTTCCTGCGTGGGTTGAGGGAATTATCCCACTTCTGAGAAAAATATAAACAATTTAAAACATTTAGGATTAACTTCAAAATACACTTACACAAACAATATAATATTGAATTGAATATAATATAATATGAATGTTATTTGCTACTTTACATTTAATTCAAAGATATTCTTTTCGTTTTAAGGATAAAACATGTGTTATCCTCATTGTCAAATTAGCTCTGAAACAAACAGTGTGTTTGTCTCTCAAATACTTCTCTGCACTTCACCTAAACAACAGTAAATAGTGCTTTTGTTGGCAAATATTTCCAGCTGCAAATTACACACATACACATTTGTGAGAATAACTAAGATTTGTTGACACCAGAAAAATATCTATGATATGGAGAATTTTAATCTATTTTCCAAAAAAAGAATGAAGTGAATTTTGGACAGTACCAAACAAGTATTAAAGGTTTACACAAAGATGAAACATTTGAAAAAAGGTTACAGATGCAATTTTCTCTTATTTAATCACTTTATCTGACCTTGCATATGTGAAATGTACATCAATTCAAACGTGTCTCAGAGGAAGTTAAGCGTGAAGAATGGATGACTAAAGCTCTCCAGGGTTTAAATTCATTCATTTAAACTTTTGTACCGCATACTTTCACTGCAGAATCGTCCCTTCATTCCATAATGCCCCCATCTTGTAGACGCGTCGACAGCGGCTGGGCTTCCTCTTTGAGCATCCAGGCTGGAGGGATGATGGAGGCAAGAGATGGAATCCACTGACAGGCTCATTAATCAGGGGCATTAAGACAGAGGGGTGCTGGCCTTGTCTCCGACGGGACACCCGGTCAGCTCAGACATCGTGTCTGTAGCAACGGTTTGCTCTCCCCACCCCTGAATCACTGCTGGCCTGCAAAGGTCAGACTCTAGATGATGTTTATTTGTTTGACTGAGTGAGTGATCCTCCTGCTTTATTTGCTGCACAAGTTTTTTTTTTTTTTTTTAGTCGGTCTTGATTTTCTTCCTTGCTCTTCAGCCGCCTCCCTTTGCCTTTGTTTTCCTGTCACTCCATCTTTCCCCCTCGCCTGCTTCCTGCCCACTTTAACGAGAGTGTTGTACAAGGACATGCTATTTATACAGAAAGGGTGTTTAATTTTTCAATAAAGATAACTGCACAAAAGCTGGCTGCGAGTCTGCTTTCATTTTGAAATTTACTGTAAGTTTGACGTTGTCATGGAAACACTGATGGTTTGAAGTATTATTGGAGTATTAGTTCTGATGAAGGGAGATTGTGATGCTACATAATACAATATTATTTTAGACAACAATATGCTTCCAACTTTGTGGCAACGCTTTGGGAAACATTCTCTAACCCGTCCGATACCTTTGAGTTGAACTGGAACACGGACTGTGAGCCGGGTCACATCACCCAACATACGACAACCAGCTTCCAACATCACGTGGAAAGTCTCCCCTGAAGAAGAGAAGCTGCTGTAGCAGAAGGTTTATGTTGACGATTGTAAAATGTAATGTAAACCACTTACCTCAATGTAATATTCATCATTTTGGCCCGTTGAAACCGCTGTATGTGATCAGGCATGTGTAAACAGGGTCTTTTTTTCTTTTGCTCCGTGGCGACGTGTTGCAGCATATTGGGGCCAAGCAGAGCACGTCCTGGACACGTCACCAATCTTCTCTTCAATGAGGACTAAGCTCGGGAGGGCTGTTTGTAAGCAACTGACAGCAATATCCTTATTGCCCTCTTAAAAATGGAAATTATATGTTTCATTCAGTCTTTCCCCTGTTTGATATCCCAGTACGAAGCATCCTCTGATAACCAGAAAGCTGGCTATGTTTCAGCCCCCGAAGCAGTGATTCTTCAGACATGCTGATTTTGGATCAGTGCGAGTGTCCATAGAATATTCTCCCATTATGTCTCCTCTAATAATGACAAATGGCAATCTACTGTCCTCTGACTCGGTTTTGGGTTGTTGCTTCATACCAAGGTGAATTACCAACTTTATTTTGTGATGGAATGGTTTGATGAGACAGATTATTGCAGCACTGAAGAAGAGAAAAGGCTGAAATTTCTGTCAGCTTCATGGTCATCTCGCTGTCTCTATTTCTTAATTCAGTTTCACCCAGTTTTCAATCTAATTGTCATGTAATAGAGAAATATTATATGTATCTAATATCTGCTAATATCTAGCATTCAGGATTGTTATTTTTCAGGGGTAGTATTTTTTACACATGTACTTTTTTAAAACTACTGTTGAGTCTTTGCTTAGTTTGTAGAATCTCCATCGCCATTCCAATACTGATGATGTTCTGCAGCCTGCGCTTTAATTATAACATCTCTACTGGTATTTTTTGAAAATGGACAGGTGTGTTGCCACTAAGTGGCATTTGGACCCTGGACACCCAAACACTAAAGTCACGTGAACATTCATCTGCTGTTATTAAATATACACTCCTGGTAAGGTCAGTACTGTTAACAAACAAAACTGGATAACCATTTCTTTTTAGGGACCAAACTTTTGTGCACAAGGCATTTTCATGTTTAATCATGCTGCTCACAATGTGAGCTAAGTTGACCAATAAATTCTATTGATACAAGCTGGAATAAAAAAAGATTAAAAAAAATAAAATAAAAATACAGTTAAACTATTGTTTATCCATGGATGTGTCCCCTTCACATTCTTTTGATAAATTACTTTGCTATTCCAAAAATAGTTACGTACATTTCTTAGGTGATGTGTTTGGTTTTAATTATATGTGCAAATCGATAAAAATCTGTCTTAATCATCCTTCATAAACATAGCATTTTATTTGTTGTTTTATCCATGTATTTTTACATGGATAAAACGATGAAAGCAATCTCTTAAAGCAGTAAACGGTGCCCTCTTGTGGCCTTGTCTTTGAACTGCATCCCCCAGTGTTGTCTTCGTTTGAAAAGTTGTGTCTATGCTAAGTCCCGCCCCCGAACAGCCTCATAACCAATCACCGCTCAGTTGGCTTCGCACGTATCGTGTGCGCTGGATCCGGAACTCAGGCTGTCAGGTAACCCAACAGGCAACTAACTACCCACATTTAATGATGTGTTCAGACTTGGGAAATGTTAATTTTGGGGTCAGGGCTGCTGTTTGAAGGAATACAAGATTTGTGCAAAGCCCGTGAGAAGGTAAAACATGCCTGAAATGCACAATTGAGGATCACAAATCCAACCCTGTAATGGTTTGACCCAACCAGCTGCATCAGTGCCACACTCCTCCAGGCTGATGATTAGCTTCCTAAAACATCAGAAATCACGTCTTTCTCGGGAGAAATTAATCCGCGTTACCCCTCCAGTATCATGGTGCCAATGTCAAGTAGCTGGCCGACATGCCGTTGTTGTTTGTGATGTAACGTTTAGTTATTTTTGAAGTTAGTCCTTTTGGAGTAACGCCAAGTGATGTTGACGAGAGGCAAACTTTTTAAACGCTCCCCGGCTGTTCGCTCGCCCCACGTGACCGCAAGCACACGTTTTCTCCGCCGTCGCTCCACAACTCGTCCGAGTGGACAAATCATTTGCCGTGTTTGTGCCGTGTCGGGTGTGAGGACCCGCTGTTTGTTGTGGCGCGGGTCCCATGGTGACGCGGGGGGGTCTTCTGTCTCAACCGACCCCCGCTGACGTCTTTTAGTGGGGGGAAAAAAACCTACTTGCAATCGCGTTGAAACTAAGAGTAAAACCCATCTTTAATGCGAGGTAAGCTTCCAATGTAACGCTGGTGTCAAAGTTATTTTGTTTTCATAATAAATCCAGCCCGAGCTTTCTCCGTCGGCGGTGTCCTCAGTAACCGTTGCTAAGCGACTCTTTCTGAGCGCAAATCACCGGGACGCGCTTCTGGATTTTATCTCATCGTGTATTGTTACAGTCATGCCTGCTGTTTTCACGTGGTCCGTGCAGGTACCTCATTCTGGAGACGAGATGATCCACTGCAGCTGGCTGCAGAGATGGACTTGTTCTCACCAGCTAATGTAAACAGAGAAGTCTCTGTCTGAAGCCGTCTGTGCAGCATGAGGAGCCGAGACATCCAGAACATACGCTCAGTGATCTGTTTACTTTTCTGCTGCTAGGATTTGATTTGCCTTTTGCCAAAAACATGTCAATCCTCAGGCCAATAAGAGTGTCTGCATGAACTTGTCCGTTTAGAGATTTGAGCCGTTTTGCTTCCATTACTTGTCTTCTTTCAGACTAGTGGGAATAAAACAGCCAAAATCCACATTTCCGTGTATTACTACCATGACTTAAACCGTTTTCAAAAGTCCTCATTTGAATATCCAAACTTACAAAGAGCAGAGAACTTGTAATCCAAAAGACGAGCATCCTAGTGTTTGAGTGTTTTTCTTGTCAAATGGCAAAGGCATTTACAGTTGGTCAAGTATTTATTTGATGAAAAGGGAATTTGAACACAATATGGAAAATTTGTTTATGAAATCTTGCTTTTTAAGCAAACTGAAAGACTTTCTCAGACATTTTTCAGGACGCCGATTCAGACTGATCATTCCACCAATAACTTCACCGTGATTAAACACAACAGGCAAGTTTTATTTGGTCCCTCTGCTCGGCCCTCCCTGCGCCTCTTAAGAAGATTAGCCGTCGTATATTGGTCACCAGGCTCAACGGGACACACTCTGCCATCTTGTGGGAACGCTCCCGTTACGCTGGTCCTCGCTGAGGATTCAGCTACACCGCTTGTAGCCGCCCTGTTGGCCGGGTTTAACGACTACGACGTCTGTGGTGGACATGGTCTGCCCCCCCCGGCAGACTGCCTTCTTTCTCCTCCACCTCTTCTCTGTTGTTCCTCCACCTGTCCAACCTGAGCTCTCCTGGCAGTCAGCTGATCAGTGCCGTCTGTCTGTCTGTCCTCCCGTCCTGGATGTATACTGATGATCATTGTCTGTGTACGATCTGTGAAGCCCCTTGTGAGGGCTTTAGAGCAGCTTAACCCCCCCCCCATCTGGTAGCTGAGATAAACCCTTAGTTCTCCTGGGAATGATCAGGGAGCCGGAGCTCAGCAACAGGTGAGTTGTTTCTTGGCTTTGTTCTTATCGGAGAATCCACTGATTATTGGGAAAGGCTAGAGCGCTTCGGGAGTGTGTTAGGAGTTCCTCGCTGTGCGCTTGTCACGCTTGGTGACACACGCTGAAAAGGCTGAACAGGTCTCTGCGTGCGAGACGCCACAAACTGAAATAGTCTAAGGGTTGGCAGAGCATTGACAGGACAGATCTTTTTTTATTATTAGTTGAAAACGGAGACATATGTAAGCAGTGGGGCTGTGTGTCGGCCTTTTTTAGGGGGAGACACATAGTCCTGTCACAGTCAGTAATACACTCCCTTTTAGTTTCTTCCCACCCGGTTGATGCTCATTGATGCCGTTCTGAGGGTCTTGAGTTGTTTATCTGCTGAGATGTGCTCTCATTTCCTCCGGGTCTACTTTAAATGCACGGTGAGTTTAGCATGTGTGCCGGCCTGCAGCCTCTGCTGGTGTGTTGTTGTTGTTGTTTTCATTGGCGATGAAACACTCTAAATGGGCTTGATGTGATTTGGTGATTAGGGAAACTTGGTTATGAGACTGAGCATATTTATTAGTTCCCTCTTTGGTTGCTGCACTGGCATGTTTGTTAAGAGATGTGAAGGTTTCTTGCAGATGCTGAAGAGCACAGCCCGTTGTTCGTGTTGGGTCGTTGCCATAGTGACTGCTGGAGCTCAAGGAATCTACTTTGGGGACTTGATGTAACGTTATGAACCACTTGTCTGATCCAAACTCTATTCCATTTAATGGAGAAGCTGAAATGCTTCGTTTTAGGAGTTAAGTGCGGCAATGAGGCGCCACCACGTTGTTAGAAGTGCTTAGACATTAAACGACTTGGATTCATGATGGCCTGATTGTTTTGAGTTCAGTTGAAGTCTATGAAATGACAGCGAGACACCGACACGATCACATGGACTCTGCCGAAAACAACTGCTCGTTACTTAGAAAGAAAGAAATGCAAATACAACATGTTACACGACTAATCATAATGCTTAAATAAAACTACAAACTGCCATTAGCTGGCGACTTGTGTCTGTATAACTGGTGCACGAGTCACATAATGTAGTGTCAGGTTTGATTGTCTGAAGGCGGTTTGTTCTGCTGTCCCTGTTTTCTGTCACGATATCACCACCTGGTCCACTTCCACTGCACAACGTGAGATCTCAGGAACACATTTTAAACCAAAGACTGAGGCCAAATGAAAGGTCGACATGATTAAACCGGACACAAATGGTTGAAATGCGCTTATTGTAAGTCGCTTTGGATAAAAGCGTCAGCTAAATGACATGTAATGTAATTATGTTTTTTCTCTCTTTGATTTCAATGTATGCCATTGACTTCTTTTTGTTTAAATGATTGCCCTGCCTCTTGTGATGGCCTTCAATCCTGGGACTTTACATAGCATGTAAAGTGCACAATGTGGGACTCGTGTTAAGCCTGACGTTTGGACTGTCGGTGTTTGCACACAAGGAGCTCTGTGAAATTTAAAAGACCAACGGAGTGAGTTACGGTCCAACGGTCCAGGAAGACATCAGTTTAGCTTTAGCTAAACTGATGTCTTCAGCTTTTTTCAGTCTTTAGCTTTTCGATTTAGATTATTTTCATTATCAATGGTGATTTCTTTCTTGATTAATTTTCATGTCATTTGGTTTGAAATAGTTTTTCCAATTTGACGTAGACTTGCAGCTTTCAGTGTGTTGTACGTTGCCCAGTTCATTTTATGCTGGAGTTAAAACATGTCAGAGCTTGCTGGGAGTATATTCTCTCTATGAACTTATGTCTGCTTTTCTTCCGTTGGTTTCCTTTGGTTACCTCTACTTGACTGCAGTCTTCCTCAGCGCTGCCTCAGGACTTTTCCACGCTCGCCTTGGTGTCCATGGCCCTGAAGGTGGACCTCGCCGCAGAGCCACATCAGCCGGGAAGGATTGGGGGATTCCCGTGGGCGACCGAGACGGCACCTGAGGTCACGTCCGAGACCTGGGGAGGGCCCGCAGTCGCCTCATAGATGAATGGAGGCAAGAAAGAACACCACAGCAGGGGTCCTTTTCTGGACACCCGCCCCGGTTGGCACCTCACCCACCAGCTCCGTGGCATCTGAGGACGAGGGAGGAGAAGAGACGGAGAGAGGCGATGACTTTGTCAGCCAGATGGATGAGAATGGCATCATTGGACTGTCGGAAGCACTGGGGGAAGTGGAGTTGGAGCCGCCTGGTTCCGATTCAAACGTGTACGCTGGACCCGCCACCCTGCAGGAGGCGGAGCCTCGTGAGCGTGACAGGGATACTCCTGAGGACCGGAGTTACAACGCGAGTCATAACGAATCCCAAGGGGAGGACGTACGAATACCCATCATCGTGTGAGTCTTTAAGTTCTTTCAGCTTGACTGAAATATTACTTTGTAAGATTTCACGTCCCGGTTCCAGTTTTGATACGTTTAAAGAATAATCCCAGTGGTCTTTCTTAGTAAATAAAACCATTGAAACAAATAGTTTTGACTGAGTTGGAGGGTGGGGGTGCGGGTGGGAGGGTAGGTTGGCGTCAGCAGGTCTGCAGGTGGGAGTGTCGGTCAGTGAGGTGGGGGGGGGGGTGAAAGGCTTTGTATTGTACGTGATTGGTAGAATCTTGAACTGTATTCTTTGATGTATGAGGGGCCAGTGGAGCTTTTGAAGGACTGGGGGGGGGATGTGATCTCTGAGAGCAGACGGGCGGTTGCCTTCCGTTCTGTATTGTGGTTTAATACATGGAATATATTTCTCTACCGCCTTCAGTTCTAGTACACAATTAAAGCAAGATTCAAAAAGATGCCTGTTTTCTTTTATATTTTCAGCAGGCAGAAAGTTTCATCATCATCATCAACGTGCATTTTTAAACTGTTAATGACTTTCATTCATTGGAAGCTCAGCAAGCGATGCTGTTTTGTTGTGGGAGCCAATTTCTGCCACTGTGTTGAGACCCGTCCTCCTATTCGTGTCTCCATGTTCCTGGCAGATGAGGACCTGATGGATAGAGCCGAAGAGCAGGGGATTGACTGCGTCCCACCGTGGGACAAATACTTGGACATGACGGAGGAGGAGAACAGCCCAGAGGAAGGGTGGACTCGGAGTGACGAGAAGAGAAAGGAAAATAAACACCGGAGCGCTTCTAGAGAGCTTGGAGCCACAAACGGCTCGGCTGAGCGCTTTATTTCCGAAGGAGAGATTGAGGAGATCGGCTGCACTCAAAAACGGAGTGCTCACCTGTCAGCCATGGGACCTGCTTCTGTCTCCAACCAGCACCGCCCAACGGCCCAGCCTACCTCACCTGTCATGGCCCCCACTTATCGCCACCTCCTCCACTTCACGGACGAGGAAATGGCTGCTGCTCCAGGGATTGACGCTGAAACGCTTCCAGAGATTCACAGCTTCACAGAAAGTCCTCCAGAATCACTGAGCAGCCACGTGAGCCAGAGGTTCAGTCCTCGCTGTGCTGAGGCAACGCTCGGGGCTCCTTCTCAGCCAGCAGCAGCCACGTCACCTCTGGAAGGTGTATCAACGCAATACAGCCGAGTAGATAAAGGACCTTTGAAGGCATCGCATATGTCCAGGATCCCTCACAAACGGCCCACTCCCTCACCGAGGAAGATGAGGCAGAAATCTCCTGAACCTGCATCTTCTAGAAATGGTTCCCCGTTAACATTCAAATATCAGGCCGCAAGTCCTGACAAAGAGCAGGAGACACCAAGCGCCAGGACCCCTGCTGCTGCCATGGATGAATCCAGGTGAGCCACATTCACATTGTGCTACTGTTTTTTTTACGCCTTATGTTGTAGCTTTTGAATCCTTTCCTTTATTCTGCGTGAATGTTGATTTCACACAAAGCCATGTGTTTAATTTCATATCCAGAAAAGGGCCCCTGAGTTACCGCACACCCGATTTCACCAAAGTGGAGCCCAGGGTCCGTTTCCCCAAACAGGGTTACCACCCCCCCAGGAGCAGGCGCCCTTGCGAGAGGAAGTCCCTGTCGCCGGAGCCCATCTTGGTGTTTAAGTCCCCTACAGGCATTGTGAAAGACGTCGTACTGAACACCACCGCTGGATCTCCTTCCTCATCACACTCTCCCAGTCCAAGAACCAGCGCCCCCAACCTCGAGTTCAAAGGGCGCCAGCAGGCCACGCTGCTCGACCACCTCGAGGTAGTGGCACAGACTGGATGCACGTCTAAGGGGATTAAATCTCAGCACACCTTTCACAGGGGAGCTGTAACGGGGTATTTTGGACAGAGGGGATTATGTCAGTTTTCCTTGTGCAGGTATTTTTGCATTTTTAAAAATCAACTCCAGTCTGGATGCACATTGTTTTAAAAAGCAGTCTGCTTAGTGTGGGTGTGAATAAATACATCCGAAGCTCTCAAAATGAAATGATGCTGTGGATATATTTAGCTGGAGCGTATGATTCATTGTGCGCTTGGGCATCAAAATGCTGTTTGACTTTGGCCCAGTGCAGCCCAGTGTTTATTAAAGCAATGTATATGCAAGTTTAATGTTATTCAATTGTTACGGAGTAGAAATACATGATTTCATAATGTTTTCATAACCGCAAAGACAACTGGGGACCAATCCTGATCACACCTCTAGAGAAAACACTACCAGTGATGGTGTCTTAAATGAAACCAGAGCCCTAGAACAACCGAAAGGGTTTTCCCCAATTTCCTCGTGTGTCTTCAGGGAAATTTAAAGAAAATTGCAACCACTTCACCATCATCTTTGCTCATCTCCAGAGGCCCCCTCTTTACGACCGCTCTTATTCTGTAGCAACGCTGAAGTCAGAAATGCTAGAACATCGTGTAGTGAGCGGGGAAGGGATACGTTAGGGAAATTAAACTTAAAGTGTGGTGTGTGTGTATATATTGAGTATGCTAAAATGATTTAAATTACGGGGCTATTTGGTACCAAAAGGAGTAACGACGGTGAGACCTTCCTTCTGGTGCCTGTTGTTGTTGTTGTGGACATTTTAAGAGACAGCATCAATCTGAGACGGTAACATTAAAGTCTGCGATGGCATCCCGATTGATCTTTACCTTCTTCTTAATGCTTTGTTTCACAACCTGTCTACAGCACCGAGGCAATTACAACGCTTGGGTTCCTGACTCCTCTTTATACTACAGAGATTCTGATGGATATTGGGAAATAAAGTCTGCTGATCATTGACACAAATGACTGTCACATAATAATGTAGCAGGAAAGCCTCCATCCTCACAAGCTTCTGTGGCTCACCGTTAATTCCTCTCTTGCCTGCTTATTTCTTCTCTTGTCTCGCTGCAGGAGGAGTACAACAGACTGCTGACTAAGTACGCCGAGGCGGAGAACACCATTGATCGCCTACGCCTGGAAGCCAAGGTAGTTAATGTCGAAATTACGCTACAATTCATCACCAGCTAATAGTTTCTAGCAGAGCAGCGTTTTAAAAATGCTGACATATTGGTGCCTTAAAGTGTATTGTTGGTCTCCATTTTAAATTACTAGCATTTCCAAAAGGGTGCCTCAAATGGAATGATGGTTTTATTACATACATGATTGATTTCTTCTAAACACAAATGTCAGGTATACAAAACAAACACCTGCTTCATCTTAACAATGCTGTAGCTTAAACAAAGGAGCAGCAGTGAATATCTGTGGGAGGGATGCTGCATAGCTGCTGTTTTATGTGCACACACAAGCAGCAACATGGAGATACTGTGTGGACAAATAGGCCCTGTTCTATAGTCTGTGCATCAATATCTGAGATCAAATAAAAACGCACAGAAGAACAATCAGCTTGGCATGTTGTGTGTTCATTCCTCAACTTTCTTTCTGCAGGACAGACCCATAGAGATCCCAAAGTCCAGGCCCAGACATTGCCAGGACATCACAGACAGAGCAGTATGTTACAGAACATTGTTAGATAATAAAAAAGGGAAAGGAAAGAAATGAAAGAGCAGAGTTAGGATGAGTGTAGCAAAGTAGCTCCTTTTTAAATATTTCGGCACAAATTAAGATCAGCACACTGCGTTCTCTGCCTGCCCTCCACCTCCTTCACCACACCACCTTTACACCATCCGTCTCCCCTCCCTCGTTTAGCCAACGACACACTGGCAGGGTGGGAGGGAGGATGACTAGCAAGTGGAATTCGTTGTCTGTTGTTCCTTGTTGAAAAGAACTGTTTGATCTTGTGGCTTCAGAGTTGAAGGAAAATGCAAAACGAGATGAAAACTCATTCTGAAGCAAAACAAAGTCTTAACATGTACATAAAGGGTCCTTTCCCCCAGTACCTGTAACTCGGGTTCGCTTCATCCAGGCCCAACGTCTCCTGTCTGGTACCAGGAACAGGCAGCAGAGGTGACCAGTGATCCGCACTAACGGGATGGTTGCACCAATATACAACCTGCACGTTTCATATCTCCACCAGGTGAACCTGTACTCTGACCCTCCAAAGCCCGGCTACTTGGTGCAGTCAGGACTGAACCGGGACTCTTCAACATACATGAAGCTGGATTTCCCTCAGGCTCAGAGAGCAGAGTTTAACTCTCCATCTCTTCACCCAAACAGACACAGCAATCATCAGAGTACGTTCCTCCTCTTCAGTATTTACTACTTTACCTTTTTCATTAATTCTTTATCTCATACGTTGTATAGATGAGTTGCTCTACTGTCGCCAAATTTTCATCACGGTGATCGTGTAAACAAATGAACTGGCCGCCATCCATCACTCCGCTGCATCATTTAATTCTGTCCTCTGCACTTGTGTGTGACGTGAACAGAGAGTTCCTCTGCCTGTCCTTCCACAAGAAGCCCGGATCCTGAGGTGGGACAGCAGCTGGCCAGGATTCTCTTCCATCAGGCCGACAAGTTCCTCCAGCAGGTAAATTACCCATTTATTTATCCACGGTATGTTACCACAAAAGCACCTAGACATTGATACGGATGGACTTCAATCATACACACAGTTCTAATGTAGTCGAGCATTATTGTGTAAGTTATCACACAAAATACCAGTTTACAGTCTTATTTTGTCTTTCTTTTATTTAAATGGGGAATTCTTAAAGCTCTTGAGTAAATTGTGGTAAGAAGTAATTTCCTTGTGGATGTTTATCCTGAATTAATGACTTATTTTGTCTGGTTTGTATGCTTGCATCCCTGCAGGTAGTTTACTGTTTTTAATTAAACTGTGACATCCCCAAGATTCAAAATGAAATAGTGAGGTACCAAAACACTCTCCAGTAACGGAATGATAGAGATAAAGGTTTCAGTGTTCTTCCTCCAGCTGCAGACTTTTGATGATCTCCTGAAGAGCAAAACACTGGGGCCTTTTGATCACGTGAAGGTAAGAACAGTTTAAATTGTTTAGACAAATAACCCGCTTCAAGTCTCACCCAATGGAGTCCTGATCTTTTTCAGGGTCTTTCACAGCTTGCTGAGGGCCTCAACTCTTTAGAAGGGGGCTACCTGTTGGCGAGGGATGAACACAAAGTCCTGCAGCAGGGCGGCGCTCAAGTCCTCCCCTTCGACTCCGAGCGGTGAGCGTCACTGTGAACGCCTTGTGGGTTTCATGTGAACTCCGTTTTGATGACGTGTGCATGTGTGTGCATCAGGGAGCTGGAGAGGCTGATTTTTCAGTGTGGGCTGCGTATGGACGAGCTGAAGGAGCAGGTGGAACAGATGCAACAAGAGCAGCCTGACTGTGAGGCTCCTCCCTCGCCACCTCCTCACCCCACCCCTTCATCTGTCCCCTCTGAGGGAGGAGAACCGCTGACTCACCCACAGGTATAATCAGAGTACAGTGCACTCCGGCCTGGAAATACACATAGAGGGTATTGTGCATTGTGCATTCTGGTCAGAAATATTAGTATTTGTAAATGTTGCACACACCCACAGAGAAAATACTGTAGAAAAACAGACAGGTTCCTGAATTACTCATGAATCCTGGGAGCAGAAATCCTTTTCTTAGGAAACTCTTTGTGGATCACATTCCTAATTAAATTTAAGGATGTGATATCGGACGCAGCCTTGGATACTGTGGTGCATATGTTCCACAAACGTAACATTTTATAGAACAAATAATTTGCTTTATCTACATATTTGCGTACATGGTGATCAGACTTCCTGTCTTTCCAGAGTCCTCCTGTGCCGCTGCTGGTTGGTCCAGGAGAGGCAGTGGAGGTGAGCTCAGCCACTGAAGAGAGCGACGAAGAGGAGGAAACTCTTAATTCTCTCTACCTCAATCCGCTGAATGGCAAACGAATGGATCAGTGAGTGAGAATCTTTGTGCTTTCAGTCCTTCACTATGTAAAAAGAATGTGAATAGTGACCATCTGGACATCTGTGCTTTGGAGATCTTTTATAATTGTTAGGAGAAATACTTTTGTTTTTCTAATTGCCGGAGGAGGACATGGAAAGTAAGGGCTTCCGCCTGCAGGCCGGACTCTCGTTATTGCACCCTGAAAGATTTCCTTCCTCTGTTTTAGCCACCACAGCTTTAAGGAGCTTCCCAAACGTTTAGTCGACAGCCAGAGGGGAGGAGCTTCCCTTCCTGCTCCCTTAAGAGGTGACCTGCTGCCTGCGGATGAGAAGAAGGAAAGACGGAGGCCCGGAGACCTGGAAGTCCGGAAAGGTCTTCCACAGAGGTTAGTGTGGTCAATATGTAGTTCATCAGCAGCCGTGTGTTGTTTGTTCGCGCTGGCCGGTAAACTACTTGCCTGTCTAAATATAATTCATTTTATTTAGAATAGAATAAAATCAATACCTTCACTTTCTCTCTTTGTTCAACAGAAAAACGCGTAAAACAAACGCGGATGCCTACAAATGTATGTTTGACTGAAACTGAATTCGCTGTACTTCTGTTGACAGGAGAGACAAATCCGACCATCTGGACTCTGGTCCCGTTGGCAGCGTCAGTCAGCCGGCCATCGAGCCCAGTCATCCTTCCCGCAGGGCCTCCAGCCAGTCCACCACTCTGCATCCTCTTCATCCCCGCAGTAGCAGAAGGAGGTTGGAGCTGGGAAAGTCCCACAGCAGCAGCCTGAGCAGCCTGGGAGAGGTTACAACGTTGGAAAAGAGGAACGCCAAACCCCAAACCGGGAGTACCGGAGGGCTTTCTCAGGTCCGTTTTATATCGCCAACATTGAGTTCAGTCACATGGCTCAGTGAGGCACTGCTTATTGTTTGGTGATGTGGAGCGTTGAGGCATCAAAAGATTTTACTTTTCAAATTTTGAAACGTTTTCTCATTTTATTTTTTTAGAGACTTTCTACATAATGTGTAGAGCGGTTAATTAACACTGGAACAAAATAAATCTGTATAAAACTTTGATATGTTTAAGATGCATTAGAAAAGGGTGGAAATATGGTTCTATTGCCTTTAACTTACATCGTAGGTTTTGTATTTCAGTACTTTACCAAAGTAGCTTTTCAAGCCACTAGACGAGCAGCGTCTTGGAACCAGTGTCAGAGCCTCCATGGTGGTGTTTATAAAAGCCTGGATTTGCATACCTTTTGTACTCTATTGTGTTTACCAGGATGGGGTCATCTCCCCGGAGACGGACAGTGGGTTTGTCTGTTCGGAGAGCAGCCGGCCGACTCCAGCAGCAGCTCTCAGTTCTCTCCACCAGAGGGCCTCGCAGAGGTGAGTAGGTGCACCATCCCCCACCCGTGGTATAGGTTTGAATCTACAACCACAGCCCCTGATTCTCCCACTTTTCCTACTGTTTGCTTACGTTATTTGTAAAAGTTGTGTTTTCTGTTTAAATATATTGAACCATTCTGCGGCAGTGTTTTAGTGCCTCAGGAGGGGAACCTGGGAAACCCTGTCATACATCCAGTTCCGTCAACGTCTCACGGTCATGCAGCTGTGGACCCCAGAAGTGACCCTCAGGTCAGCCGTGACCAGCAGAGGAGAACCAGACAAGGGCCGAGGAGACGCTCTTCTTCGTGCTCTCTACAGCACCGCGCCCGCCAGACGCAACGAACCAGGGCCGACAGCGGGACCAGTGACTTTGGCTTGGAAAGTGACAGATGTGGGTCCTAAAGTTCTGTCCTTCCATTGAGCTTGTTGGTAATACTGATGAGCTCCTAGTGTTCTCTTCCTTCCCATGGTATTTAACGCGCTGTGCTCCTCTCTCTCTGCAGCTCACACTGCGTCTGAAGACGGACCGAATGATCAGTACACAGAATCTCTCAATTCCCTCCACCACTCCAGCCGGAGCTCGTCCCCCACCGCAACGCATCGCCATGGGGATTCTCTCCTATCACTGCGCTCGAGTCAGAACCCCAGGTAAGTGGGTGTAGCAGCTGCTGCTATGGCGATAGCTGTGTAAACAAGGCCAGGTTCATGTCTCCTTACAGAGAAATGATTCTCTATACAAATGATAGTTAGCTATTTCCCGAAATGTATTTTTACTTTTGTATTTTTGTACATTTACTCTGGAACATCATTAAGCATAATTTGTCCATCATATTCTTTCATGTATTTGATTACAGAATTTGCTGCTATTGAATGTGGTTGCATATTGGGAGGTACTCTGTATTGGTTCCTTCCTGCATGGTGTGGTGTTGCATGACAAAGTGTGTGTGTGCGTGTGCACGTTTGGACGAACACCTGATAGATACTCGCTGGCAATTCTTGTTATTTTCACAAAGCAGCACTTCAGGGGTCACATTTACTGGACTTTACCACCTTTTGAACTTGGATTCTACTGGAGTTAAATAAAGAAATAAAATCACATGCACTGAATGCCCCCCTGTTGGATTGTCTCCTGTGACTTTGCACATCCTTTGTTTTTTAGTGACGCAATCCAGAGGCTGCAGGTCGAGGTGATCAGACTAAGGAACACACTTGAAAGCTATGTGAGGAATCCGACGCCTCTGAGCTCTGCGAGTCCAGCAGCTCCAGCTCAGGAGAACTACACCCTCCACAACTCCGCTCCACCTCGCTTCAGGTTTGTTTTTATCTGCCGGCTGTAACCACACAGTCGACCTGCTGTTATGCTACAGGACAGAGACTGTAGCTATGACATGCTCCCCTTCAATGCAAGCCTGCATCTTTTATATAAATAAATAAATAAATAAAATGAATTTACTCTTCTCAACGCTTAGGTCTGTGGAGCAGTGGGGTGAGGTCAGCCGGGGAAGAAGAGATGGGAGGACTGTTGATGAGTCTACACTGAGACAAATGACCAGGAAGAGACCATCTTCTGCAACCAGACAAAAGCCACAACTGGACATCTGTAAGTCCACCTGAACTCAGAATCTTGCTTGAAACGCGTTGAGCCACATTAATACACATAATAGCATGCAAACGTTCACCTTAAATTGTACTGCGTTACATTTATTCATTCTCTGGATTTAATTTGGAGAAGAACGCAAAAGAACCAGGTTGCAAAAAGAATGTACCTGCTTTTGACCCGTGCAAAGGTTATTGGCGAGCGCAGTCATCAAAAGAGTTTGCTTTTTTCTTTTTTGAGTTAATGTAAATAACGCTTTGTGCTCAGTGAGCGGTCTGGAGCCCTCTTCACCCAATCCTCCACCTCTGGTGTCCAGGTGTACTCAAACATCCACTGCTGCACCAGACAGCTGTTCCCACAGTGCCGTCTGCAGCAGGACTCACTCCAGTAAGAACATGCATACCTCTGACAAAGACGTTCCCATGGAAACCAATGTTTAGCTGACTTTCATTTGCTCAGACGTGTTATCGGTACACATTTTCCAGAACCGATTGTGTCCAGCACACTGCTGAGCGGTTCTGCATGTGTGTTGCAGGGCAGCATCTGGGTGCATCTGAAACAGCAGATGGAGCCGACAGCAGAGGGCGACGCGCTCCTCTTTGTCCTCAGTGTTTGTCGCGTCACCAAGGGCGATCTGACAGTAAGGAGCCTCCTTTCAATCCAGCGAAATTTTTGTTTAGTGTTTCCTTTCATATGATTACCTGCATGTAAAGAACGTTGATTCAAAAGAGGGTGAAATCCACCTTTGTTTTTATTCATTTGACCCCCGTGTTGCAGCTTGTCGCCATTTATTGTACCGATTGCTCATTTTCTCCCCGTACCAGTTGGTGGTGCCATGGAGCCGGCCCACTGCCCCCCCTGTCGTTGCTGTCCTCTCTGTGGAGGCCCAGAACCCTCCAGAAGCGCTGAGCCAGGTTAGACACCATCTGAACAGTTGCCGTGCTCATTATACAGCAATTAAAATCGCTTAATGGAGCCGCTGACCTCTGATTCACAGACTGTTGCAGAGTTTCAGGCTCACCCACACATACAAGCTGCCACGTGTGTTCCCCGGATGGAGCCGGGAGGAGCAGACACGCGGCAGCTGCCGCTCCGCCCGTGCGGTTACAGTTCATGCCAGTGTGCTCGCCACCACTTCTGTAAGCAACCTCACAAAGTGCTCATTAGCAGCCTCTGAAATAAGTGAAGAAAAAATGGACAATAAGTTAATGCTTTTTGCAGAAAGTCACCTGACCAACTTAAAGGGATAGTTTAGCTTTTTAAATGGTTTTTTATGAGGTTAAATCCAAACCCACTTTCAGTACATAATATTAAAATGAACTACACTCAAAGATGTCAGTTAACATACTTCAAAGTGTTTCTGACATCTATTAAATTAATATTTTTATTCCTATGTACTATTACAGGAACTACTGCACTGTTTTACAGTTCAATGACATTTTTTTTTTTACCCATATTCAGGTTGTACTCATCGACCCCCTACGTGCCACTGAGCCACAGCACACCTTCAGGGGTCAGAGGTCACAGGGAGATGAGGACGAGACACTGCCAGTGGTCTGACAGGGAGCACTCCGTGGACACGTCTTTGAACAGAGCCATCAGAGCAGCTCAGCACATGAAACGTACCTCTGGACACATGGCTCGCTCTCTGGCTACAGGAGTGCAACACCAGGAGCTGCTCACTCAGTCCTGCAGCTACTAGTCTGCTCACTCAGCTCACAGGCAGCTCGGTGACCCCAGGAGAGAGTGCAGCACCAGGTAAATCAAATGGGGACATATGTTTGGATTGAGCATTTTTTTTAAATGGTAGCAAACCGCTTTTGCTCTGTAAAGATCCATTTCATCCGATTTCTTTAGCAGTCATATTATTTCAAAAGACATGCAAGCATACATTATACAATATGGAGCTCGGTTTTGTCGACATGTGGTTTTCATATCAAACAGTAACAAGTCTTTGTCTTCGGATGTGGGAAGTTAAAGTGGAAATGGCTGTTGATTACGTGACTTTATAATCATGTGGTTGAAAATAACCATCCTTTCTAGAGATTTTTTATATTTCCGGATGGTCTTACAGGAGACCATCGTGGATTCTATTTGGTAAATATTTAAGTCATCGTTGACGCTACAAAATGAGTAATTTATATATTTTATACATTTTAAAGTGTGTTTTTAGCCTGATATTTTGTACTTATTTCATCATAACAGTCAGACCAGTGTAGTGCACTGTGGATCCATCTTTTATGACCCCACATACACAGGAATGTTTTTGAATTGTATTTGGTAGAAATTTACGTGAATTCTGTGTCAATTTATTTGTTCTTTAAAAATATTTTGCAGGGATTCTTTTCACTTGAGCCAAATAAAGGTAAAAATGCACATTTGCTTTCATTGTACTTCCCTGTTCAGTAAATTAAGTTTTTCATTTTAAAGATGGTATTAAAAAGCCTTTTAATGTAATGGAAGCCAATTTATTAGACAGCCTTAGTACACACTAAGTACACATGGAAGTATCGTTTGTGCTTCAACATACAATCCCAATAAGTTAAACAGTTTAAAGATGGACTATTGCGTCACTTTTTTTCCTGATAAATAATTTTTATATAAATTGATTTTAAGAGTCAACCCTATACAGCAAATTATAAAAGAAAAAAGAGCGTTTGCATCACAGAAAACGCATTATAGCGCAACGTCCAGCTTGTTTGGCAAGGAGGGAGGAAATGAAAGCAAACAGTGGATTTAAGTTCATTTTTGAAAGCCATTCGCAATTGAAGGGTTTTACATTGCACCAGAGGATGAAACAGGCAAAGTATAGATATTATTTTTCCAGTTGACAACTAACAGCTACAACTAACACGGTGCCTTCACATTGACATTTCTAAAGAAAAAGTTTCACTACGTCACAGTCCGAAATATTACAACAGTGAGACAGCAACATATGACACATGTACAACACTACTCAGTGCATGGCCCAATTAAACATTACTAACCGATGATAAGACTTAATCTGACAGGATACAATACTGAAATACAACTGGCCCTTTTTTAAAATTCATTAACTATCAGCAAGCATTTTGACATCAAAACGTGAAGTTTCTCCAGAGAAAGGAAAAGTTTGTGGCAAGTAAATACTTTAGTCTCGACAGGCAGAGGAGGGATGGTTCTGGCTTTAACAGTTTTCCTTGTCTAATGTCTCAAGCAAGCACTTTACACAAATACTTCAACAAAAATGACTGCTTTGAGTACGAGACCCAACCTGATGGACTTGTCAGCGAACAATTTTATTAAGTTCTAGTTGACCTTCAGCGGAGCAGTTTGTAATGAATTAGATCTACGTTGGCATCGTGTCACAGCTGAACCATTGAGCAGTGAATAACGCATCACGAGTAGTCTGAAATGTTTCAAAGTGCGCATTTAGATCTTTCGATACTCAAAACAAAAAGGTTTTTGCTGAAGTATTTAAGCTCGACATCTTAGGGGGAAAAGCTAGGTGCTAACTGCGGCTTCCAGAACTTCCACAATGGATACAAACACATCAACAGTCCACACAAGTCCAAGCATGCTACTGTATACGAACATCTCAAACGGGCAGGGGAACTCCTCTGAAATCTATGTATTGCATGTTGACCGATATATATTTTACAAGATCAACCTCTGGAACCACACGTCCCTACTCAACCCGCTTCCATTAGAACTCCCACCAAGTAGGAAACTCAAAGGAACAAACAAGAGAAAGTGTCTACCTTTTTTGCACAGGTGTCTTTAGCATACAATATTACATTTTGGTTCTTCGATTTTTAAATGACCTTCTGCTCAGATATTTAAAACCATTTTTTTTTTAAATTAAATTAATCATTTAGTTGCATCCATTGTAAAACGCGGGAATACTTATTCCGATGTTATTCTTTGATACATATTTCTTTTTTTTTTATCATTTAAGCTGTCTTTTTCTTCTCAAGCAGGATGCATACACAATGTAGAGGACGGGGACAACAGGGTTAAGGGAAAGAGGAGAGGTGTGAGTGGAGGATTTTAGCTTGCAACTTCCTCGTCTGGTTTGTTCATGGCCTTGAGCTGCTCCAGCAGGCTGGTGGGGGTGAAGATGTGGGTCGATCCTGGAGACACACATTCACAAAACACACACACACACACACAGAGCGTCAGATCTGCACGTTTGGAAGGAAACGGTGGGTAAAATGTGTTTTCAGCTCTTGCTATGAATGCTGTAGATGACGGTATCATGTTGAAAGTAAAAATAGAAGCGCTGAGCAACAAAGTTGCAAAATAATAATCGATCCCCACTGGTTACAATGGACCAACCGTTTTGAAAATGGTGGGATAACCAAGTACTTTTACCATACAAACAAGTTTGGGTGCTTTGAGTATTTCCAATCAGACTGCTTTTATATCCATTTTCTACTCGTTATTTTACTGTATTCTCAGAGCTGGTTACTAGTTCAACGGAAGACGTCATGAAATAGCTTCTAACCGCAGGCTTCTTTGGTAAAATCCACATCCCCAAAATAAGAATTTTTTTTATTGGCCCAAAGATTCAGGCAAAGTTTCTTTATCCTGTAAAGAACCACAGTTGGCCACACTAGAATGACTTATGCTATTTTAAATGTTTTGACCTTGATTTGTCTCTGAAAAGTACCATGTAAGCATCTAATACTGTAAAAAACATACCAACTCATGAAGACGCAAACAGTTCAGTGATGGAACTGCATTAAACTTAATCAAGAGCATATCTTCTCTGCATGTCATGAAATATAATAGTATATTGTCTTATATAAATGAAAATATGAAACTTAACACACATGATTCATTGTGACAGCTGAAGACACATTTCAGACATTGTAGAACTTTCGGCGATTGACTGGAGTAAAGCAAACTTCCCCCCTAATTTGTTGATTCATCTGCAAATTTACATTTAAATTTAGCTCTCTATCATAAAGGAAAACAAAGCATTTGATTTACTCCTTTTGCAGAACAGTATGTGGCCTATATTGGTTTGTTTCTGTTGCAAAGCTGCGTGTTTCCTCCAGTTTGGTCTCATCAGCAAACATTAAGCTGCAGTCGCCCTGTGAGGGGTCAGAATGTCCACTGGAGGCAATTAAAAACGGAAGAGAAGGAGGCGAGGCCACCTCGGGTTTGGTATTCATGGGGACATTAGGGTCGTGGGCCGGGTTTACTGTGGGACCGGCCTCGCCTGCTTCTCTGCAGTTACCCAAACACACAGCTTCGTAAGCCTTTTTGTCCCAGAAACAACATCGCCACGTTGATCTCCAACGCAGCTGAATGACACTAAATGACTCGGCTAAGACCAAAATAGCATAACAAAAACAAAGACTTGTTTTAGTAAGTAATGGCCATTTTGCTCAGGGATGTGTTGAATGCAGCAGTATAAAACCAAACATTGGTTTGTAACGATATCGCTTTAGCAGATTAGTTGGGCATGAGATGGATACGCAATAGCCTTCCTAATCTGTTCCAAAAACATTTACAATGTCCAATACAAAGATAAGATCCTTTATTCTGTGCATCTAAACTTAGATTTCACATAAAACATCTCAAACACCAAACAGTTAATTTGTGGTTTAATTCTCTGCTAGTGACTGCTGTGAAACATGTGAGGGGAGAGGTGGATTAGTAGCATCTTTACCTTTTTTTATTTGGTTGCTAAAGGATATCAGGTGGAACATTGCTACATTCTCGGGCTGTCAGCAGAGGGTCATCATATAGGCCGCGACACAAAGAGCAACTTTTTGGGAAAATAGAATATTTCTTTATTTTTAGCCGTTTATTTTGCCCCAGAATTGCCCTGCCTGTCAGCGCCCTGAAACGGATATCATGACCCTCTGCGGACGCGCCGTGAGCCATGTGAGCATGTGATGGGGGGCTGTGAGAAAGTCAGAGGACAGGTAGTCAAAAGAAAAAACACAAGGGAAAGAGGAGAGGATCCTTCTTTGAAACCCAACATCAAGTCAAGGACCTGTCCGATATGGAAAAACCCCCAGTGACAAATCAAGGTGATTGTCTTTGCAAAGGGTTGATTCCAAAAAATAATCTGACAGTAAAAACTGATAAAGATGGATGTCGGGGGTAGATTAAATCTGGAGTAGGTTTCCAACGGGCTCAAGGGGCCTTTGGGGGGCTTTCGAGGGGCGATTTAATCCACCCAGCGAGGATGATGGCAGGAGGCAGCAGGGATGGGGTCACGACCCCCCTCAAACATGGCCGCTCTTCAGCACAGACTTTACAGGCTGAATCCAAATGTTCAGCCTCTGGGCCCTCGTGCTCCTCGGCCATATGGGCCACTAGACTACAAAGCAACATAAGACTGGCTTTTGCTGCATTTTATCGCTTACTCATTTCTTAGAAATTGCTTCATGTTAAAAAAAAAAACAATGTATTTCTGATGTTTATATATGTGATTTTATATTCTTAGTGTCTATAAAATAAACCCAGAAGTCTGCAGAGATTACCAATGTGGTGCTTTGCTAAGTGAATTGTGAAACGGGTCCGACGTTTGGATTCAGGCTTCCTGTGGGACAACAGACAGGACACACCTAACCTGGTTGGCTAGCTCAGTACACAGGGGACCAGAGCCTGATGGAGCGGCCCATGCATTGAGGAAACGTCGGGGGTTACCCATCCCTGAGGGTCACGGGGAGGAGGCGGGCGGAGATACATAAGACAGTACTGCGAGTAAGGAGGAGGAACAAGGAGGAAGCCCTTGTGCTGCGAAGGTTCAGAAAGGGCTTCTTTGTGCGGCTGCCTTTACTTTTTTCAGTGTGATTTCTCTCTCCCTCCCTCCCAATCTCTCTCTGCCTCACTCGGCTGTGGGTTCTGCGTCCTCAAAGGACACCCTAGTGGACTCTCGGAAGTCGGGGTGCTGGAGGTCCGATAAGAATTTGGTGGGCGTGAGCATGTGGGTGGCACCTGTGGAGGAACAGAGGCGGCTTCACCACTCGTCTCTCAGCACATGCCACGCCCCCTTCCCCACTCGCTCCAAAATCGAAAAGGGTTGAAAAGAGAAAAGAAACTGTCGTACAGTACACACGCACACAGCTCACACACAAACACACACGACAAGTTCAACAAACAAAGAAACACACAGAAAAAGACAAGGCGTGGCTGCAATTTAAAAAGACAAGTTTTTTTTAAAGACAGCTGAAGCAGAGCACAACAAAGACTAACAAGACAATTCCCCATGTAAAACACAGACTAGCCGACAACGCTTTAAGACGTCAAATAAACAGTACAAAAGGGGTATAACATGAAGGACTATTTTAACACATTGCACACAGTAGGCAGGCTGTAACAACTGCACCTTCCACGTAGGTACTGTGCTTGTTTGTGGTCGGGGTCATAAAGGGAATTATAGAATCTTGCATGAGCGGCGTCCGCTTGCAAAACCTGAACTAACCCTAAACCATTCCCAATTTGTGTTATTATTTAATAATAAATTATTATGTATTATTTATTTATCTATTCAGAGTAGATGAAATATCAAACCATAGTTAACCTATAAACTAAACATAAACTAAACTTCCTTGAAATCATCTCACTGCTTGTGTCGCCAAAGAGAAACTCAATCCCAGAAAGTTATTCTTAAAAGATGGTATTAGGATGACAAAGTCGATTTGCTTTTATTACTGAACTTCTACATTGAGGTTAGATTGTCTGATTCACTTCCTGTGGTTGCCGTCATGTTTCTCCTTGCCTCCATCTTTTTTTGTGCCTCCCCATTTCAAAAGCTTTCATCCTTCTGTGAGGACCTGAAGGTCAAACTGTCCTCTGAAAATGCTAAATTAGCATGCAGCTTTAAGCTGCTATCTATAAAAAATAAAAACGGTCCACTCAGAAACGTTCACTGAGCTGAAAAGGTTGCTGTGGGTTTCTTTAGGTACCATCATCCAAAACCTACAAATATGAGAACTTCTTGCCTGCGCTGAGTGGCGCCTCCTCGTGCACTACTCACCAATGACGGCTTCCCACTTCCCATTGGCCTGTGTGACCTCATATGCGCAGCGCATCTCGCTGAAGGACGCGCCGCCGATGATGAAGACCATGACACGCGGGCCAGTGCGATACTCTCCTGGAGTCTTGTTCTTGTGCCAGTGGCCGTACCGAGCACTGCCGGAGCAGAAGGACAGATATATTATTACAGAAGTTACAGTTTGGCATCCTAAAATTCTTGAACCAAGGTATCTCACAACAATGTTTTGGGAGTCATTTAGGTTTGCTTCTCAGGCACAAGTTGCCTTCTGGCTAGTTCAGTGAATTTAAACGTCAATCATTTTCATAACTGACGATTCACAGGTGATGATGAAATACAACTGAACATTGAGAAAAGCTATGGTGAAAAAGTACAGCGCTTTTGGTAAGAGGTACCTATTTGATGATGGTAGACGATAGTGGAGTATTACATTTCATACTCTTGGGTGAATTAAAAAGGAGAATCTGCACATTTGCACGTTTCTGAGTTAGAGATATAGTTTGAAAAATGTGTTGAGGAAGGAAAGAACGACAGAATGCTGTATGCCACAATGGCGCTTAAAAAGATCCATCATTGTCCTCTTCAGGGGCAGCTAATGAGGCAGTTTGTACCAGACAGAAACTAGACAAATTGCTCATAATCATGGGGGTTATTTAAAGATGATATGCACTTTGTATTTTCCAGTGGTGACGTTTTTTCTGACTTTTTTTTTTACTGGATGTTAAGTCTTAAGATACATTATCTAGAATTGTGCTGAAAATTCTTTTGGAGATTCCTAGATTCGTCTTATATTCGGATGAGGTGGAAACTAGTGGAAATAAAATCAGTGGAGCCTGATCTACGGGCTCAAACTAAATGAATAGACATGGATTAAGTACTGAAGCATGTCTGAGCGCTTGACAATCCCTTCTATCCTTGCACAGTCATCAGCGTGACCCTCTGCTCTCCATTTTACTCAAGCACTGATCCAATGAGGTGTGTGTGTGTGTGTGTGTGTGTGTACCTGACTGCAGTGGTGCTGAAAGACGCAGAGGAGCGGGTAGAGATGTAGGGGTAGTGCTTGGTGTCCAGCTTATCTTCAATCGCATCCTGCAGGGGGACAAAAAGACAACACAGTTCTTCGTCAGCATATCTGCTTTAAACACACTTAAATAGGAGCTTCACAGTTGTGCCACGTCTCTTAGCAACCATGTGTGGCTCTATCACAGTGGTCCATTGGAGAATTGGCTTTGCACAAATAAGGGGCTAAATATAGTCCAGGCTTGGAAAACAGATGTGTGGTTGTACGTCAACTGAAATTTAAATGTGCTTGAATAAATATTGTTTTTGGGGGATGGTTTGCTTCAGATAAAATATGATTTATTTGAAAACACAGAAACCATGCACAAGATAAGTGAAATAGATATCTCAGAACCCATCAGCTATCAGTCTGAAACACAACCCTGTGGGGGGGAAAAGGGTTTGTATCGGAGGTTTTGGTTTAGCCATCTGATCCCTGTGCTGGGTTAACAGTCCGATTACAGCTTGAGACAACGTCAACAATCACATTCTTTTCCCACGTCGCCGGTTTAAAAGCAGATTTTAAACCAATGAAAAGAAAATCGTGGGTTCCTAGATTGCATTACGGCCTTTACGTTTTTGCCTCAGATTCTCTTTGCACAGATTGTTGTGACCAAAGCCCGAACACGATTGGTTGAATACTACTCAAAACTGCAAAAATGGAAACCAGATGGCTTCAGACACACATCTGCACATTAATGAAACTCTCTTTAGAGAACAATTCAATACTGATGTAAGCCCTTCAAACACACCTCCATGATGTCCTTGACCAGGGGTGTCCAGCGGGACAGCTGATAGGTCTGCTCGCTCACACGCTCCTTCCTGTCCAGCTTCTTTCCTCGGCGGAGGGTTGACTAAGGAAGGAAAAACAAACCAGGAAGTGAAGGACAACGTGTGGAAAGAATAAAAGAAATGAGAACTACCCACCAGAACCACCCTGTTGCATTAGTCTACAAAATATTATATTCAGTGTTTGGACCTTATCTTGTATTGGGAGATGATGGAAAGTAGAAAACGGTTGACTGACAGAAAAAGAAGTTTAGAAGAAGAAAATAAAAATACACAGAGTGAGGGTCTTACATCTGTGACAATGGGGACACCCAGGTGAGCCATGTTGGTGATGATCTCACTGTCCTCGGGGGGGATCTGGGCGTGTTGGATCAGCTTATTCAGGTTCTCCTCTGTAATTCCTGCAAACGCACACACACTTGTTATAAGATATGAAGTCTGTGCTTGTTTACATTTAATATGTTCAGCTTGTTTTGGGACGAAAGGGAATTCATATTTTTGTAACTTGTGTGTGAAAAAAAACAACTCATTTTATTAAAACTCAAAGTTGACAATATAGAAGTCCTGTATACTGCTTAAACAGGACACCTTATTATGTCTTTGTAGAAATGTAGGCTTATGTGTGACCTGAAAATCTGGGTTTTTAAACAATCTTTTTTCTATCCGTTTCCTGTTAAACATTTTTTTTTTTTTTTACAGACTTCAACTGAACATCTGATAGATGAAGAACCAGTTTATTATTTATTATGGTAAATATTAATGAACTATATTTGCACCGGCAATTGTTTGCCAATTTAAACCATTTATAAATGCATTTCTTTATAGTTTGTACTCCGAGCATTCTGTACATGGGTCTATGTAAAGTCAAGGAACTGGGAATTCTCAGTGAGTTGGTCAGTATTAACTAATGCATCAAAACAAAAGAATATATCATAAACTAAGCATTTAAAATGGACAGCGAGCAGCACATGATGAGCTCATGAGTTCTACAGAGGTCAGATTTCATTACGTGCCTGTAAGTCTTCTCCTAACTGCTTCTTACCATTCTTGAGGAAAATGTAGAGCAGGATGATGCGGATCTTGTCGTACGTAGTGACGTTGGCATCCAGCAGGATGGGCACAATAGCCCTCATCGGGTCTTTGATCTTCTCTCCCTCGGCGTCCGTGCCCATAGCCAAGTCCTGCAACAGTCATGTTTGTCTTTTAAAATGGTCACCTACCATTTAAAAAATCATTGTCTTTTATTTGTGTGCAAAAACCTTCATTTTCTTCTTTATAGTTTTGATAATGTCTTTCGTTTAGCAATACTTTGTTTCGCCGCCTCATCATTTTGTTTCCTCTCCTTGCTTCCAGTTTCTCACCTTTCTTCGCCCATCACCTAAATGGTAAATGGACTGTACTTGTATAGCGCTTTTCTAGTCTTCCGACCACTCAAAGCGCTTTAACACTACATGACATCATTCACCCATTCACACACTGATGACAGGAGAACCATACACAGTGACACCTGCCCATCAGTAACTACCATTCATACGCTGTAGTCGCAGCTTACAGGAGCAATGTTGGGTTAAGTGTCTTGCCCAAGGACACATCGACATGCGGGTTAGCCAGGACTGGGATCGAACCCACAACCCTCTGATTGGAGGACGACCGTGCTCCCCACTCACCCACAGTCGTACCTAGTTTCCTCTCACCTGTTCCACACGGCACAGCTTATCCACGGTTCCCTGGTAATGCTTCATGCAGTCCTCAGCGAGCTGCAGATGAGTGGAGTACTGAAAAAACAAAAATACATGAGGGTCAGCATACACATTTACACACGCAGGAAAACATGCACGCACAGAAATACACACACACACACCTTGCTGAGCTCCTTTTGGTACTGAGGCATCTTCTTCAGCATCTGGGACAGGTCCCTCATAGTGGTCTGTGGAAACAAGCAAAGCAGTGGGACAATGGCAACATCAGTGCAAGATACATGAACAAAGACAACTACATTATGGATACCAGACCATATTTATGTTATCTCTTCATTTTTACTGCCAAGCGATGCCGACAAAAAATATTAGTCATTTAAATCAAGTTCTATATGAGCTAACATGACAACAAACAACATGAGCTAAACATAGGTCTCAGTTTCTCCATTTATCTCAACGGTAGTTGAAAACTATTTAATTCTGATCTTAATCATGTGTTCCAGCCATGTATTTTTTAAATGGGCGTTTAAGAATTAAAGATGTTATCTACAATGCAAAGTTGAGCTACTATACCAATAACTGTATGTTATAATTATAGTATGTTCAGACTATACACATCAACATTTCCTCTCTACCTTCTCCCCAGCTGTGTTCATCCTCTTGCTGGCAGAAAAGTCCTTCAGCTGCCGGGTCACTTCCCTAATGACGAAACACAAAGGGGCAAAGAGAAGCAGTGACACAAGAGAGAACGCTTATTATATTGCGTAGGCCAGTATCCAGAGACCGAGTGAAGAGATATACAAAGTATGAATAAAAGTACTCACTGGGAAACCTCAGCTATGTGTTTGTGTCTCAGGCTCACCCACAGGTCATCGTCCTCGTGCAGCAGAACCTCCTTCTCACGAGAGTCCCCGATGCCACTGGTCTCATACCTGACAGAAGAAACACAGTAATTAGGGTCCAAGTTTGGGATTTAAGCAGATTCATATTTCATATAAAGTCTGCTAGCTGTAGCTTTAACCTCATTAAAATGGAACCTCTCGGGGCATTCATTTTTGTCAATTGCGTTTTTCGTACTTGTAGACGTCGTTTTCGATGGGCAGCAGGTCGTAGCCCATTGCCTGGAAGGTGAGCTCATGCAGGACAGGAGAGACAGGATCAAACGCCCGGTCCAGGATGATCAGCTGTGAGCGCGCCTTGTCTGGACCCTACAGAAGGAAGGAAACAAATGCATATATAATGATCTACATTGTTCTTAGTCAATTCTTAGGAATCTACGATTTTACATTACCTACTTAGATAAATAGTTTTGCAACAAGAATGTGACAACAGGTGAAACAAGTTATTACGTGAGAAAACAGGGGTAGAACAAAGCAAAAAGATGAGCCTGTGCTTACCTCTCCCATAGTGGGGTCATCAGCCTTGTAGGCGTCGAGTTTGTCCTGAACCAGCTGGGCCAGGGTGGCGTTGTCCTTGTACTCGCTGACGGAATGATAGGATATGGAGGTCAACAGGACAAGATGGGCCGACAAAGTAGCAGATGTCCAAGCAGATGGAGACAAAAACAAAAGACAGAAAAACATTTGAATAACATTTTTCTTGATTCAGATGTTTAAGTGAATAGAAATGTCTCTTACTGCTGCAATGAAGGAATACAGATTTTTATTTTAGAAATCAGTTGGTGTGGCTTCATTCAAGCAGATGAGATTTTTAAAAATGTAAAACTCAGTCAAGCAGTTCAATAATACCTATAGCAGAGCTCAAATCCCAACTGTAGATTGTTTGCTTCGAAAGTGTATCTGTCCAAATAAGCCATTTCATTGATCGCTAAAATGCCTTTTGTCTTGGAAACCACAGTGCCCCCTGCTGCTCACCCTCGGTATCTGACAGCAGGGTACTCCTTCAGGGTGGCACAGAGCGTGGCCAGCTGCTCAGCCAGCCTCTCCATCACCGGATTCTTCAGCTGGGTCTTATGGGGGCTGTAGAAACTGTGGAAGGCATCTGGATTGTCCAGAGAGTATACCTGCACACATAAATATGGACACAGATTAAAAATAGCTTCAGCCATACTCTTTTCTGCCATCGCATATTCATTGGTTTGAGAGTTTCTTTTGTTTGTACGCCTCCACGCCAGTAAACTGTGGCCAGAGGCTTGTCTGCCGTCCACAGGTACATTCCATTCTGAAGAACGTGAAATCTCTTCTTGAGCAAATTTCTTCAAACAGCGCTCATGGACAGACTATGATTATATTACAGGCATGAAAACGGGTCAAGGGTGAAAAAGGTGAGAAGGATATTACACCTCTAGGGCAGGGGTTTTCAACTGGTTTTGTCCGAGTGATTCTAAAATATTAAAACCATCACTCACCCTGTTCGCAATTCACTGAATATGAATACCACCCCCCCCCCCAAAAAAAAACTTATCGAATCTACGCAATTCACGTAGATCACCTATTTTGGTTTCAAAACGGCGAATTTCGCCAAAAGGTGAGGGATTTTCATGCCCGATATTAGGATGACATTGTCTGGGTCTTTGTACTTTGACTCCTGGCTTCCTAAACACTAAAATATGTCTTTATTGAATAATAAAATTGCTTAATGCTTTATTATTTTTTTCTATACCTTTTTTGAACATACTATGTACACTATACATATAGTTGCCTACATATTGTTACTTGTTTTCTTCAGGCTATACTTTCACATTGTCCTATAGTTTTTTACACACAACAAATCTTTTGACGCACTATTCTGTGACTCATTTCAATAAACCTGACTAAAAATCTTTAGCCATAGTACAAACTGTGTTTTTGACACACTATGAATTGATATATACATGTATATTAGGGCCGTCAATAGATTTAAAACAAATTCATTCGTCGTCATTAAAAGTTCGTTATTAGCTTTTCTTATATATATCTAAATATTACCAGTAATGAGTAATCACTTTAGAAAGTGTATTTTAGACAGTTTAATTGTATCTTTTATACACAAAACTACACACGTGATCACCTTGGAGGTGGAACATGTTGAACTAACGACTCTTCCTGCTGTCCTCTGCACTTTGCTTTGCTCTCAACTCTCATCATTTGACGGCTGTGTTTAAAGTGCCAACAATCTCCGACATTTAACGGGGACGTTTTCCAAACAACTGTCTTTTAGGGCAGCAGTAGTGGTCCTCTTCAGACCGTGTGCCGCGCAGGGAGACGTAAGTAGCCTAGCGGCTAACTTTAGCTTAGCCTACCAGCTAGCTTACCTTAGCGGTGCGTAAAGTGGTCCGTTTGCCACTCACGCGCCTTCTGTTTGATACGTGGAGGAATTCTTCTGCAGTTCTCCGGTGTAAGTCCTCTGTTTGTTTTACTTCCAAAGCTAACAGTTCTCTCCATCTTTACCTATCTACCGCCCGCGCTCTCTCTCTCCTGTCTAACTGACCGCAGCCAGAAGCGGTTTCGTTTCCGGGGTCAACTTTGTTAACTTCCGGCACACGGCAGACCGGAAGTAATTAAAGTTGCGTTACTGAGTTAATATATTTTATCTCATTAATCTCATCCACATGAATCACATAGATTAATGCGTTAGTTTTGACAGCCTTAAAAAAAATATATATATATACACAAACAGACAGACACACACACACACACACTATGACTTCTTTATCGAACTATACAATGATTTTTTATTTTTAAGACTTTTAGGTTAGACATGTTTTCGTCATTATAACTTTAGATACCATTAACTATCCAGGTGCTCTTCTTGAGGACATCATCACCTCCGCCCCCCCCAGCAGCTGCATCACCACCAGTCTATCTCGACTCTTGTCACCAACAACCTTGATATGCAGCAATCAGAGTAGCTAGAGGACTTTGTATGGATGTAAGGATGCAAAGAGGGCTGAACACTAGCAAACGCTGTGTCATACTGAGAGTCCCACAATGAAATATTCTATCGGAGTATATTATTAAACAACACACCACAAATCCAGGAATAAACAAAGATTTACTAGACTCTTGTACTGGTTTTCTCTGCATGGCCCTGCTCATAGAGGCTTAAACTGAAAATACTTTAACTGTAAATTCTATCAATGATTCTCATAAACTGGACTATGTCCTTTTAGAAACCAGAATGCATTAACTGTTTGACACATCAATAACTCTATATTTGTATATTGCAATTGGAGAAGTAGGAATGATGTTCCTTTCATATACAATTACATTTTCAGCTGTTTTTCGTTAATTAGTTTGTTAACTGCTCGTCTTTGGACTTTGAGAGAAAACAAACAGAAGGGCTGGCCAGGTAAGGTCGCTCTAGCTGTGATGATCAGCCCTAACCACTACACATTTTTTAAAAACCTTATCAGATGACATTGTGATGGCATACTATGTAATGATCTTATGTATTTGTATGCCTGCCAATGAAAGCTTCTGGTTGTTGTCTTTCTGTCCCTCCATCCCAATGTTTCTTCAACTTTAATACAAACTGACCCTTGACTCGATGATAAACTGATTAGAATTTGGTGCTCAAAGATCAAGATTACCTTACTCAGTAAGTCATATGCTAATTTGAACATTTTCAAACAAATGTTGAATCGACACACAATTGATGATAAAGAAATTACATTTTGGTCAGAATCGTAAACTGCAACTTGAATGGTTGGTAAAGGCAACAGGTTTTTTTACTTACTTTAATATTTTACTGTTTTAATATAATGTGCAAAGTATTGTTCAGGAACAGTAGATGTTGCGAAGCCTAATTAAAGCTGAAAACGTGTCATACCCTCTTCGTAATTGTCTGTCTCCTTTCCTCTCTCCACTCCCACACCTCTTCTCATTTTCCTCTCTCCTTTCATTTTATTCTTCTTCACCCTTTGTTTCACTTCCCAAAGTCATTTGCTCTCTTCTTTATATCTCTGTATTTATCTCCTATCTACACTTCTTTTCATCTCTTATGAATTCCATTATACCATTCCTCTCCTCTTGTTTCCTCCTCTCTATTCTCCTCACCTGCCTCTCTCTCTACCTCCCCCCAGTCCATCTGTCCACAGTCACATGAGTGAGCTTCTGCTCTGCGGAAGGGTCCCTATGTTAGCCCAGCTACCATTGGCTACCATCTGCTGTATCCTGTTGGATCCTGACTCACCCAATAGGACGAGAGCATCAGCGTGTGGGTGGGGCTATGAGGCAGCACCTTGCCTGCAGCACAAAACCACTGACTCGCAATTAATCAGAGTAGACAGGAGGGGAGCAAAGCATTGTTGTTCAAGTAGCTTCTTCAGATTTTGTGAGAGAGACTGATGGACTGAAGGACTGAAGGAGAGATGAGGGAGGTAGAAAGAGAGAGGGGTGCAAGTAAGACAGGGACGGAGGGAAAGAGCACTCAGAAAACCGACGGGGGAGAAAAGGAGGGAGCGATGCATTGTGACAGATGTGATTCTCTTCGAACAGTCGGGCAGTTTCCGATATGGGGTCGAGTGTGAATGCCGTGTAGTGAATGAAAGCACCAACACTGCAGGGACATCCGCTGACAGGAGACGTTCTCATGTGGAGCGAGCGAGAAAACCAATCACAACCCTGCGCTGAGGACTTATTTCAATCTGTGACTTGTTTACAGCAGTTATGTAAATTATTTTCTTGTCTTGTTGAATATTAAATATATTACAAAGACGTAGTCACCAGACAAACAGTTCCTTGCTCGCCATCATCCTGAAACTAATAAAAGACGTCTTTGGACACCTACATGTACATCGGGCTTTGCCCAATCGTCTTCTTCTGTTGAGTTCTATGGCAGGTGGCCCCAATACGAGCAACCAGCAAGGTCTGTCCTTGGCCCCATCTAGTCCAGCACTGGATTAGCATGAGCGAAAAGCCACATTGTTCCTGGGAACTAGAGTGTGCGTGAAAGAGGCTCAACAGCACCAGAGCAGCAATCATCACCATCACACAAACAGCTGGACATTTACCTGAGACTCGTAGGGCAAGAAGGCGATGTTGATCTCCGTCAGAGTCTTGATGGTTTTGGAAGCGCGACTCTTCGTCAGCTCGTTGAAGAGAGGATCAGGGCAGGCTGTCAGGGTGAAATAGATTAAAATGGAATTACAATCGGTAGCAGGCGTCTTCATGGATAAAGGGATTGTTGTTCATTGGTTCCAATGAAATAAATCTTTGCAAGCATTCATCTAGTAACAATTTCAACGGACTTGGTTATGAGATTAACACTCATTAGACACTCATTAGATTGCCGGATGTGTCAGCAGATTCTTATGAACAACAACCCACATACCAAAGATATTTCTAACTCACATCTACAGTATGACACTATAGCTTCATAGATGTTTCATAGCTTTAATTTAATAAAGCTCATATCACTGCTATGCAATCTAATACTTGAAAGCACAACGGCTTTAAAATATGCTTCTCAGTCAGTAGAAATAGTAGAAATAGATATTCAAAAGCAAGGAAGGACAATGTTAAGATCTCTGTGTACTGTTCTTTAATCAAATCAACAATAAGTAATGAAAGATACAGAATTTAACAATGAGCTGTACCAAAGAAAACAATCAAATAAAAAAACAAGCAAGCACAACATGTGATAAATGGGAAGAAAATAGTAAAGAAGGAAATGGCGCAGAACATAAATGTTTGAAGACAAAAGCATTGTATATTGTACAACACAGTATTGTAGTAAGTCTTAACGTAACTACTCACAGTCAGTGAAGAAAACATGGGCTGCCTTGTATTTAGCTGAATGAGGGTCTTTGAAGTCTCCGATGAGGGTGTGGACAGACTGAGGAGAGAGGAATCACGGCTCGGATTGTGGTGTTTTCACAACAGTTTGCATGTTTCAGCGCGTACGACTCACAGGCGCTTTATTGCCACGACATCTTGATACAAATTAAGCTGCAAAAGCCTGAACATAAATAAGTGACCTCATAGTCAGGAATCAGGATACATTTATTGCCAAAATGTGTCATACATACAAGCAATTTGACTGGGCGGTTGGTATATGGTTGGTATATGTAATATTGAAAACTTCCTCTATTGCCAATACATTAAATTGTGAAACTTTATCTCATCTTATTGTATATGCTGCAACCAATATGTTTTAAGTGGTCTTTATTCTTTCTTTACATTAAACCATGAGAGATAGTGTAGAAACAAAGCCGTGTGTGTGTTTTCTGCAGCTGAGTAAACAGTCCTATGTTTGGATTTCAGCAGCTTGTCTTCTTTCTCTGCTAAAATCACATGGACACGCCTCTGAAAATAAACTATGGAGGAGAGAGAGAGAGAGAGAGAGAGAGAGCTTACCTTCTCTGTGGGTGTAATCAGGTAAATGGCCTCCAGGCTGGGAAGAGGCTCTCGTCGCTTCATGATGTCCTCCACGACTGGAGAAGCAGAAACACAGACACGTGTTGAGAGGAACGTACTCAGACAAACCAACAATGTACCAGTTCTGAGGATGTGACCATCGTGTCTTACTGGTGATGCCCTCTGTCATGATGTCTGTCATCTTGCAGCAGGAAGACAACATCCTCATGCTCAGCTGGTCCACGATCAGTGCCTAGCAACGGGAAATGAGAAATGTGCTCTCATGAGATTCATGTGTGTGTAGCTTTTATGCATTTTATTTAGCTTTTTTTTTACCCTGTTTGCCTTGTTGTCAACTTTGTGATTGTTTGGAATATTTATGTCGCCTCAGGACGCATTGAAATATCGACAGTAAGAGCCTGAGATCAAACCACCAACACAGTCTCCCCTCTGTGCATTCTTTTTAATACAGGGTACAAAAGACAAATTGTAAGAAGAAACTAATGATTCACATACGTAATATGTTCCTGTAAACGTGCAAACTATGCACGCTGCTGGTTTAGAGACTCACCGATACCTCCAGCACAGAGGCAAATATGTTGGGTTATCTGAACAAGGCCCTCAACTTAAAAGTAATTTGCATTTTCAATTAATATTCTTAATATATAAATATCATTCAATAGAATTATTTTATCATTAACTGTAATGCACAAGTTTTCATATTTATTTTTCCCTACAAACAGTCGCAACCCCAACAATGTTACATTTAATATCAATGAAGACTAAGTAAACAGCAAATATTTGTTTTAAGTACTTGGTTTCTTAACAATTCTTAAAATTTAAATTCATAATCGAAGTTGTTGTCAATGCACTGACACAAAGATTGAAGAAAATGTCTCAGCCTAATAATGTAGTTGCAAATTGTAAATTGGTCAGAAGATTTTCTCTAAACAAATATCCAAAACGTTAATAAACCACAGAAAAACCGAACTAAGTTCCTAAATAAGTTCCCTTGCTGATCGATGGTCTGGATGATACATGGTATTCTCTGAAATATGAGGATGTTGTTGGATGTAGTTGTGATGCTCACCTTCCATTCTCCCTTCTTCTTCACCTTCTTGATTACATCATTCATAATCTCTGTAAAATAACAGTTAACATAGTCAGGAATTGTTTTAAGGCGTTTTGCAAGAAGGGTCTTATAAATAAAGAGGCCTGAGCGCACACAAGCACACACACACACACACACACACACACACTTGTTTAAGTCTTATTTGTGCCCCTGGAATAAAAACGTTGATGGAAACAGTTAACCACATCCAGTCATGCTGGTCATTGATTAGAGAATATCATTATGTAATTCCTACACTGGAGAACAATAACCTGCAAAAATCCAAAATAACCTCCAACAAAGTCAACGGCGGCAGATCTACACCAGTAAATCATCTGGATGAGGGCTGAATGAAAACATTCGAGTTACTTCGTCGCTCAGAGATCTCAAAGATCCGCAAAGGAAAGAACCCCGTCCACCATGAACTCATCACACAATGATGTTTCTGCCACCATATTGATATTGGCCTGCTCACAGCACCAAGCATCTGCCAGCTGTGTCAGGATAAATCCATTTAGGCTGAATTACTGTTTAACATTACAGGATTGCTGTGAATATAAACCACTAAGCCCTCCGGCCCTGGCAAGAGACTGAGACCATGCAGATACTGAGGGATTATCAAAGATTAAAAAGGACTCTTACAAAAAAGGATTACAAAACACACATCAAATAAATATCAGGTAACTTGGGCAAGTCAGCAGATGTTTTTTGTTTGGGGTCAATTCTTCCAGGTGAAGACAGCTGGTGATTGGTTCTTTTCTCAAAGAGGAGGAGCTGAAGGAAGTGGTAATGGGAATGAAAGATGGACAGTCGATAGACACGTGGGAGGAAGGGGTTGTAAAAGAAAGAAGGTTGTATGTCATACATGTTTTGGAAGCAGAGAACAAGCAAACTCCACCTAGAACGGCCCTACCTACGTGGGGATGGAAGTGCCTGCTCTGTGGCGACAGTGCCACTGTCGTTATTATGTACTATGATAGTCAAATGATACTATAAAAAGGTCATATAAAAACAAGTCTTGAAAAAAAAATCATAAATGATCACATTATGTCCTTGGTGTGAGATACCCGTACTAACCATATAGCATTGTTTACTTTATATAAAAATATTATAAAAGGTAAATTCGTAGCGTGCCAGAGAAAGCTTAGTCCGCCCGTCATCTTCAAAGCTGTTTATCCTTCATACAAGGTTGTGGGGGGGCTGGAGTCAATCCCAGCGGGCCAGAGACGGGGTACAACCTGGATGGGTCGCCAGCCAATGGCAGGGCCGACACAGAGACATGCAAACATTAATACGCACATCCGCACAGCAACCGGGAAATTTAGAGTTACCAATGGACTGTGGGAGGAAGCCGGGGAGAAGCCACGCAGCCACGGGGAGAACATGCAGACTCCACAGAAGGAAGCCAGGACCTTCTAGCTGTGAGGCGACAGTGCTAACCACGTGCTGCCCTGCACAGTATTCCATGAAATACAACGTGAAACAATCAACAATTGTGTCTTACACAAGAAATATATATATAATAATAATAATATAGTAAATATATTTATTCTGTCCAATGCTACAAGAAATGTACTGTGGTTGATGATAGCTAGCTCAGCCTAATTGTAGACAAAAATAACTATATGTATGACAAAATATACTATAATACATATTTTCAAGTTGAGCCATCAATATGAGTCAATTTAAGTGTTGTTTTACTTTGCCTGAAAAAGGGCCCTCGGTGTCAGACTATGATAACCTCTGATACAGTACATGATAAAAAGGAAGGACCGAGGGGTTAGTTAATAGAAAGATAGATGTATACAACTTAAATCTGTAGAAGCAGCATACACACTATGACACTATGACTGGCAGTCTATCCAGAAACCTTTGTGATTCAGAGGAGCTGTAATTGACCCACCTTTGGGACACACGATATCGGTAAGTACGCATATTATTCTCTCTAAATGACATGAGAGACTCCTCTACTTAGCTTCAGTTTATTTCTAGAATTTTCTCGTTCTGTACTAATACTCTGACTTTGGAGTAGTCAGGGAATACTAAAGACTAAAAATAAAAGCTGTCAAATTAAAGCTGGTTGACCTTACAAGATGTATTTCATCCAGCAGTGGCTTCAGCTACAGGAGACACAAAGAAAGCGTGGGGATAAAATCGGTCCCTTGTTTTCCCTTTTCCTTCTGCTGCAGTTGATGTGTTTCCTCTTGGGATGTACTGCATTTTTCTGATAAAGGTTTCTGATAAAAGCAGTTCCAGTGACTGGACTCTGCATCCCCCTCCTGACCTCGAGAGTGGTTATTTTAACTAGTTGTTTTTAAGAGGGGGATAGAAAAATATAATGAAATAATGAAGTGGACGCTAGATACACTTTCATGACTGAGAATGAAGATCAAAACCGTGTCAGGAAGGCACAGCCCTGTGGACTTTTCCTTTCTGACCTCCCGATAGAGGCCCAGTAATACAGGAACGTACCAGTCCGACAGAGGGGAAGGGATCTGGAAAAACACAGTGCAACAGCTGTGTCAACTAAACAGGCCGAATGGCAAACACACACATGCACTGATAATGTCTCACATCCACTCAGGATACACATTCTCATGGCGGAGCAAAGAGCAAAGAAAAGCAAAAGGTACAACATTTTCTGACAAGCTATCCCAATTCAAGAAAGAAACAACAAATGTTTAAAAAAACATCCTACCGCAAACTATTTTAGATGGAATCACAAATATATATATATATATATATATACATATACGCACACATATACAGTGGGGAGAACAGGTTTTCCCACGTAGTATTTGATCACCTACCAACCATCTGTCCACACACTCAATCAAACAGACTCCAACCTCTCCACAATGGCCAGACCACAGAGCTGTGTAAGGACATCGGGGATTAAATTGTAGACCTGCACACGGCTGGGATGGGCTACAGGACAACAGGCAAGCAGCTTGGTGAGAAGGCAACTTCAAGATGAGTTCCAGATAACAGTCAATCTCCCCCGGTCTGGGGCTCCATGCAAGATCTCACCTCGTGGGGCATCAATGATCATGAGGAAGGTGAGGGATCAGCCCAGAACTACAAGGCAGGACCCTGTCAATGACCCGAAGAGAGCTGGGACCACAGTCTCAAAGGAAACCATTAGTAACACACCCAAGGTCCCCCTGCTCAAGCCAGCGCATCTCCAGGCCTGTCTGAAGTTTGCCAATGACCATCTGGATGATCTGATGAGACGAAAAGGATAAGTAGAACCCCAAGAACACCATCCCAACCGTGGAGCATGGAGGTGGAAACATTGTTCTTTGGGGATGCTTTTCTGCAGAGGGGACAGACTGCACCGTATTGAGGGGAGGATGGATGGGGCCGTGTATCGCGAGATATGGGCCAACAACCTCCTTCCCTCAGTAAGAGCATTGAAGATGGGTCGTGGCTGAGTCTGCCAGCGTGACGACGACTCGAAACACACAGCCAGGGCTACTAAGGAGTGGCTCCGTAAGAAGCATCTCAAGGTCCTGGAGAGGCCTCGCCCGTCCCAGACCTGAACCCAATAGAAAATCTTTGGAGGGAGCTGAAAGTCAGTGTTGCCCAGTGACAGCGCCGAAACCTGAAGGATCTGGAGAAGGTCTGTATGGAGGAGGGGGCCACTGCTGCAGTGTGTGCAAACCTGGTCAAGAACTACAGGAAATGTATGATGTCTGTAATTGCAAACAAAGGTTTCTGTACCAAATATTAAGTTTGGCTTTTCAGATCTATCAAATAGTTATGTCATGTTTTAAATTCCGTCACTAACAGTTGAGTACCTTTGATAAAAATGACAGACATGCTTTGTAAGTGGGAAAATCTGCTCTGTGTGTGTGTGTGTGTGTGTGTGTGTGTGCACCTTTTTGACTCTACAGTTTCTACCTTTGCCTCATAGTTCTCCCCCTTCAGGGACGTTCACCAATGAGTTCATGACCCATTTTTTCTCTATCTCTCAGCTACAGAGCAGCATCACTCCCAAGTGAATATGACCAGCGTGATCTTAAAGAGACCATTTCAGCGTGGCAACAGCCTTCCGCCGCTCATCAGTTCAGACTTTATTAATTGTGTCAAAAAAAACTTTTAATCTGTCTGCATACATCAATACAACCATGCCATATATAGGTGATGTATGATGTATGATGATGTAGCTGTTTTATCAAAAGTATACTAAATGGAGGGAAACAGTGGGATATTAATATGTGCTTTTCCTCCTACTTTGGAGATTTATTAGTCATTTCATTGACTGAAAATTAATCAATGCCAAATAATGACATCTTTGAAAATAGGTTAGTCATGCTTCTCAAGCATAGGAAATAAAATGCTCTCTCCTCCATATTTTTTTACATCCTTGAATACGATACATCAATATATCCCTAAAGAATATAATAAAGTAGATTTCCCTCATGGTGAGGTTCATTTTATTAGTGAGACTCAAAGGGTAAAGTAGCATGAAACGTGTACGCTACATGCTTATCTGCTGTTCAAGTTTACGCATTTTAATTTTTCAATAATAATTCAAAAATACATATTATCTAGACATGAAACTTATATGAGAAAACAAATCTTCTGCTTTCACAGCCTGATATTAGTCTGCATCCTGATGAGAAAAGCCTGCAATTGCATAACAACCTAACCAGCTGCAAACAGCACAAGATGGCTGCAAGTAACGCAGACGAGGATCAGCAGTTTGAGGCCTCGCCGTCCTTCAACATTCATGTAGTCAGAGGTCATGCGGGTGGAGGCGAGGTACAGTTCACCCGAGGAAAATAGGAAATGGAGTGAGGTCTGTTTCCGATGATCTTTTGCAGCCGAGGATTGCAACAATCAACACATCATACCGCTTAAAACATGTGCAAAGGCATTAAGCTCTATAATAACATACACAACAAATCGGACAGTTTGGCCAAGCGGTCTGACAACACTCGCAACACCCTCGATCACAGGCCAGCAAGAAGCTTCTGGAAACTCAGATGAGTACGACAAGAAGTTGTTCAACCACATGAATGCT